TAAATTAAAAATGGTCTAAGCCGTCTTGAGGATTCTTGGGGATTCAGGGATTGGGAAGATTGGGGAGGATGGCCTCCGGTAACCTCATTTACACGACGAAACACAACGTAAGCATTGTTTCACGTCGGTTTTCTGCTCAACCGTGGTATCACCCCATTCGTGCCGAAGCGTAGCTCTCCCACACTTAAAAGTAGTTAATGTATGATTCATTAACATTCATATCTGATATAATGTGACTTAATCTGTTTCAGGTACAATATCATCTAGAAAGCAATATTTGAATCTTACGAAACAGTCTGGGGTCAAGTTTAAGAAGTTTATATCTCTCGTTAGAGGCGGCTTCTTGAGATAGAAGAATGTATGTACTTTACAATTACTTACATAATATATAACACTGCATTCATTTAATTTTGTTGTTTTATTTTGAACCAAAACCTGAATCTATATAAAGCAGATCGCTAGCAGTCCTGCCCGCGGATTCGGTCGCGTTTCTGTGTTATGAAAGATAGCTTATATGTTATTCCAGACCATGTTCTACACCAAAGTTCATTCCAATCCCTTCAGTCGTTGCGACGTACGAGTTACTCACATAAACACACTGAGACAAGCTCCACTAGTGTCAAGTCACAGAGTCTTCCTCATGAGCAGCGTGCGTCGCGGCGCCGGCGATGTCGCACAGCCTACCGCGCAGCCTACCTATACTCAGCTAGCTGCACATTTCAAAGTGTAGATTGATAACAGAACTGGTGAGACATGGTTGTTGCAACAGCCACTTGAACACAAGTTAACGGCAGATGAAATGAGCAACAATATAAACTGATGAAGGAATACAGATAATAAGCTCTAAAGACAACACAAATACTTACTTAACAACTATATCATCATGTATATGATCAAACGGATCCAACTTAAGTAAGTATAGTCTGCAGCAGGATGAGTGATAGGAGAATTATATCTTCTTAGATTTGTTTCTGTATTTAAACACTTGGGAAACAAACATCTATACAATTTAATTAAAAAAGAATACGATGCAACAAAAATTCACTTACTTTTCACGATAAGTAACAGAGAATAGAAACATGCCAACACAGCTATACAATACTAAAGTTACTAACGATAATTCAACTTTAGCCAATCCATAATGCTGCACAAATTAATTCAATAATTATGGACCGTAATGGTACAGACTATGAATTAAAGAACTCAAGGTTCAGCTGCCTGTATGTTAATGACTTTTGTATTAAATGGGTCAAAAGAAAAATCTTCACAATACAACCTAGTTGCCATAGACGCATTGATTTTATCATAAACTGTAGTTTCATGTCCATTGTCATATACCCTTGTATCTGCTGCACTTACTTCAGCACCGTTTACAGTGGAATGTACTTCAGTTACTGTAGTACTTCTTTTGTGTGTACCTGTATTCTTGTCTACGTGTGTATTGTGGCGTAATAAATGGTTTTGTTCTTTCTTCTTAGTACTGCTCTATTTATTATGACTACGAAGTGTTCTGTTGCAGTCACTTCTTCAGCTTTATTATTGGTTGCTTTAGTTGTAAATTCAGTTGATTTATCTCTCATTTGTGTTATCGGTAAAGCTGTTGTTGCTTTATTCTTGTCTATAGTTGTTTCGTACATTGATCTCATTACAACTGAGTCTTTATTGTTATTTCTATCTTCTTTGTGTCCAACAATCATTTCTTTCCTAACTTTTTGTACTTGTTTGTCTAGATTACTTACTCTTCTCTCTAAATCATCGTTTAAGTTGACTGCTGTTGTTGTGTAACTAGTACCACCTTTAAGATATGTTTGTGGAGACCTGTAAATAAATATATCGGTGTAAAGTATACAGGCTTGTAGAAGTGGTGGATCGGAAAATGCAAGCATGATAGTATGCAATTGAAACTTACCAACGGCAAGTACCAATGGGTCATTTTTTAATAGGATAAGCTGGTAAACGAGCAAACAGGTCACCTGATGGTAAGCAATAGGTGTCGCCCATATACACCCGCAACACTAGAGGAGTTACAGTAGTACGTTTCAGAGGCCGGTTTACCACTGATCAAGTTCAATTTAGTTTGCAACATCCTTCTAGTGTCATGGTGTTTGGTTAGCTCAGAGAATTTACATCCTCTGTTGGCTACCAACAGCGCCATCTAGCGGTTGACGGCGGAACTAACAAGTGAGCCGACGAGGGCGGGCGCCACCTAGCGCCAATGAGACGAAGCTTGCGCCGCCTCTTGACGCCACGGGAGAACAGCGCCGCCGCGGGCGCCCCCCGCCCGCACGCTGTGCTCGATTACGACCGCGCAGCGAACGTGTATAGTGATAGTTTTTAACTTCTTCATTTAAAATGTCGATACAATCTCCGACGATGTTTTGCTGCAATTAAAATATGCTTTACAAGATGAATAAACTGTATGTAAGATCTGTTCTTGGTGCAATAAAATAAATAATATTTACTAACATATAAGAAAAATATGATTGAAAATACGTACCAGATATGTTAAACAGCAGAACACGAGCGCACACTTTCATTTTAATATAAAAACACTAATATTTTATTGTATCATAAAACTTGGTATACATTGCGCGAGCAACTATTTTTATATTTGTAATCCAATAAAATTATTACAACTATTTTATTGACAATAAACATTGGAATTGTTAAACTCAATGTTGTTTCAAAGTTCCATTGGTTTTTTGACAAATGTTTTTAAAAACACTAAATTCTGAACAAATTCGTTTAGATAGTCAAAATTGAAAATGTGCAGCAATAATACAATTAAAATAGTGAATATTTCCAACTTGAAACCAATTATAAGTTATGAATAATGTTGCTGCTATTTTTATTATTAGCTCTGCAGTATGATTTGTCATTTTGTCAGCAGTTTTACGCAGGTTTGTCAGAGTTCTAATACAATTTAATTATCATTAATTATAATAAATTGCGTCTTACTAAGAAAAAACTTCTCTAGTGCACTCTCAGTTAACCGAAGTGGATAGTTTTTCATTAAAATGCAATAATAATAACTCAACAACCGAAATAACACTATAAAATATGTTTTTCTGAGAATAATAAAAGGTACGAAATCAGAAATTAATAGTGTTAACTTTATGGACACAAAGACACGAATAACATACCTATCGAAAATTGTCTTTGATCTGACCTCGTTCCAAAATTAAGAACCACATTAATACATACACATAATGATCTTCATAAGCTCCACAGCGGCACTCGACAGCAATTGGTATCAGACGAAGCAACACACACTAGATAAATACAGGCAGAACATATTCTACATGAATAAGAAACATATGAAGATCAACAACTTCAGAGTGGACGACAGTGGACCTACACACACGGACTTTTTAAACTCAATGACAGAAATATGGCTGAATACCACTCCAAGAATAGAGCAGATTAATCAAGTTGCCGTTCCAAGTTCTGAAGATGCGTTCTTCTCGAAGAAACCTACTACAGAAGCTCCACAGTTTCCATTCCCTCCTGTTACTAGAACAGAAGAGAATCCTTACCTTCAACCTCACGCTGATACTGCAGAAGCACTTCCACTTCTTTCATATCCTAGTTTAGATCCCCCTCTTCAATCTCCAGCAACAACACTACAGCCAGAATATACTCCTTCTCCAACTAGACCGACGCCAAAAGATCCCTCTTTCATTTCTCCTGCTCAAATTCCAAGGTCTTCAACTGATCCAGGTTATAATCCATTAGAAACTGAGGGTATCACTCCTGAAGCAGTAGTTTATAAACTGTACCAGACTTACCCATCAGCTGTCAATATTGTGATGGAAGAGATGGCTAAATATCAGACTCCTACTAATTATATTCCACCAACTGTAACTAACAACCTTGATTTCACTGGTGAGTCATCAGTTTGTCGTCATCATCATAACTTTCGTGAGACATACTGAATTCATTATTATATATTCGGCTTACTCACGTAACTGTTTGACGAGGAACTCGACTAGTAGGGCGCGCACCGCAGACTCCAGTAGGCAGTAGCAGCGCAACATTAGCCGCATCGTATGACGCGATATGCTGCTCATGAATATGAGCCTTTAGTATGACTTGAAACTAGTCGAGTTCTTCATCAAACAGTTAAAAACGTAGCTTGTCTTTGTGTGATCCGCAAATTTTTATTTAGGGTTTGCTCATCATGTATCATACATGAACTTATAAACACGACACAGAAGAAAATTATAGATATGGATATAGATAATAAAAATGTGTCCTTTTCCAAGACGATGTCAGGTCACATGCGAATGCATGGAATCTTGAAGGGTTTTTGCTTAATTTGCACCAGTTACATTAAGAGTCTCATGCAATACTATCACTTCCAAAATCCTTGCTATTATAATTTTTTTTTAAATATTTTTTCTATAACTACAATCAATAATCAAATGACTGATCAATATCTGTACTCCTCAACAGAAACGTTGAAACCATTTGATAAAACCCTGACGAAAGACCAACAAACTCTGGAAGACAGAACTAAACCGAAACAAATTGAAAGACAAGACCAAACTACTTTAGATCCAGTCATCTCATCAGTTCAAGACAAACTACTCGATGACTATCACGCAGATCCTGCTACGTTAAACACGAATGAGAAGAAAGAACAGGCTGTGGAAGATATGGAAAACAAACCTAATATACCCAGGGAAGGAGACATTAATAAACCAGACGATAACATAATGACAAACCAAGAGACTTTGGTCAAAGAATCAGATTACAAACCTGATAACAATAACGAATTGATCCGAGAACTGAAAGAGAGTATGAACTTAAAAGGCATAGATGTAATTATTGAACCTGACAGAGTAGTAATGTTTGATAAAAATGACAATACAATGGAAAAACTTAAACATGAAGAGGATAGAGATATAATAGAATATAGCCCAATAGACGATCATATAGAAGTAAATGTGACTGCTAAGGTACGTGAAGCCACTACGCCAAGAATGGCTAATGTAAAGGGTGAGGATACAACAATTAAATTCAGTAACAAGACTGATGAAAAGTTTATAATGGATGACATTGATGACGTACATAAAGATAAACTTGATGAAATACTAAGGATGGTAACACAAAACACTCAAATGGAACGGACTACAGAGGTTTCTAGAGTTCCAATGAAATCCACAGAAGTAGATGCAACAAAATCTATGCTGTACAAAATATTCAATTATTACTTAAAAGAAACAAGAGCACATAGAAAAGTAACGAAATTCACAAAGTCAACGTTTAGAAAGGACGAAATCTCAACGCATAAAATTAAAAAGATGCATTTAAGGAAAATTATAAAGAAGCCAATCATAGTAAGAGAAGTATACACCACAAAGCATAAAAGGCTACACGCTAACAAACTTTTAAAAGAATCAACCATTGTACGAGAAGTAGAAACGACATCACACAAAGAGGATGAAAACGATGAAGAAGAGGAAACAAGCTCTTTAACTACACCAGTACAAGTGAATATAAAACGTTAGTAGTATTTAAATACTTTCTTCTATTAACATAACATAACATCACGCCTTTATCCCCGAAAGGGTAGGCAATTCTGCTGTACAATGTAACACTCACGTTTCGCTATTTATGTCATAAGCCCATATAATAGGGAGAGACCCTATTGTTATTTACCAGTCCATATTCTAGACTCCGTGCTACAAATGAGAACTTTTTAAAAAACTCAGTAGTATTTGCCCGACCCGGGAATCGAACCCTACACTTGCCCAGCAGTTGCACTTGCGACCATTCGGCCAACGAAACAGTTTTTTCTACAACTGATGTCATAAACTTAATTGCGGTTTGTTTAGTCTTGTCATTTAAGCCACCTCATCAATATCATCAACGGCATATAAGTGGCCACTGCCGACCAAAGGCCTCATCTCACACGCAAAAGTTCGAGCATATCACCTCGCTTACTCAATGCGGGTTGACAATTTTAAACTTATAATTAGAAATTACAAGCTCAGGTTTCCTCACGATGTTTTCTTCCACCGTACCTTTACAGGAAACTTTAGTCTATCTTTAATATTAATAAGAATAAAAAAATACGTTTAACTGTTACCCAGGTATGCCACAAACTACAACCACGATGCTGCCATACTTCCAAATGATTGATGATCTGGATGAAGGGTACATGGTGGTGTTCCTCATCGAGCTGATGAGGATCATGGCTTCAAAAGACAAGGATGATCTATTTGAAGTCCTCGTTCATACTGAACAGATCGTGCTGCAGTGAGTGGCACATAATACCATCTGACATGCAAGTTGAAAGTTGTTAATTTGAACCTTATTCATTTGTGTTTCAGACTTCATGAAAATGGAAAAATTAGCTGGTTCGGTCAGCCTCTCTTAGGCATCACAATGAAACTGGCAAAATTCATGACTGAATCTGAAACGGGAGTGATACAAAGTAAGTAATTCACATCTAATCAGCTCATGTAGTGTATTGTCCAGTCAACTGATGGTAGCGAGGTTGACTTGTCAAGGATACATGTACTTAGGTATTGTCATGAGCTAATGTTCACGTGTAAACTACGCTGATTCTAATGATGTTCTTACAGAATACGCTTCGAAATTGAATAAAAAAATAAGTGCACGTCACCAAGAGCTATCGTCTGAAGTCAACACCATCATAGACTATGCTGATATGTTGTATAATGATAAAGAAGGCACGAAGCTCTTCAATGTGCTCAAAAATTTTGATGACTATCCTAACAGTATGTATTTGTACAATGTAGATTTGTACACAACGCCATCTATTAGTTGGTTCTCGAACTTCTTATAGTGGGTGTACCTGTTATTCTGAATTTGTATTTTTTTTTATTATTTCAGTTTTAAAACAAGGGTACTCAATATGTTTATCATTAATTGAAAGCTTCCTAAAGCCATATCGTCGGCTCAGTAATACAAAGCTGCGCCAACGATTGTTAGACTCTATTAACTTAGAGCTAAGAGCTGGGAGTGCTTTGATTGGATTTTTTGGTATAAAAAAAGGTGCGTATTATTATGTATCTAACAGTCATAATTAGTTGTTAACTTATTGATATTGATTACATTTATGTCGGTCAAAGAAATATTGAGTTTTTTCGATTTTTAAAATTCTGAACGGTCGATAATTCTATCCGAATAGTGGCGCAAGTCTCCTCCGGGATCGAAAAACCGATCTACGGGCCATAGACGATCTTGATCATTCGGCGAATTGTGCGGATTCCCATGTAACTCGCTTTATTGTCGACAACCGTAGCTTTGTAAAATAAAATGACGTCATACATCTTCTCTTTCACAGCACCAGAACGAAGGCCGCCAATGTCATCAGGCAACTACAATATAGTCCCATTCTCAAGGAAAAAACAAAAGAAATTTAGACACAAACTACAAAAGCTGAAGTCGAAACCAAAACATCAGACAAATAAACGAAAACACACAAAGTTCCGGCCAGATTACAACAATGAAAACATTTTTAGACGAAGATTAAGTTATACACCTGAAACTCAGTACAATTATCCTTTGTTAAGAAATATGAAGCCGATCACAAGTATACAGAGACGGTACAAAATTGTTACTCCGACACATCGACACATGTTAAGGCACAGGTCTACACGTAGTTATATAGTAAACCTAATCAGTAGACCCACCAAGGAGCTCACAACTAAACTAAATAAAGCTAAGAATCAAGCGAATACTAGATTCCCTTTCCTCCATGAGACAGTGCGATTTCGAACGCATTTGAGGCACAGAGTAATGTGATTAACAATCAGAGAAATAAAACGTATTAAATTTATATAATCATATGAGGGATGGAATTAAGCAGATAGCAGCTGCAAGAAAGACTGAAAGACTTAAGACGATTCGCAATTAAATCAATAAGACTAACGATAACAATGTATAAGGTGACCAGAAAACTAGCGTAAATAACGCTTGCGTTGTGTTTAGCCATGTGAGTGAGATTACCGGAGCCCAAGGCCCGATTCCTCCCCTTCTCTACCTCTACAATCCTCGAATCACTATCTCTCAAAAGGTCCGGCAACGCAACGCATCTCCTTAGACCAACACTGAAGAATCGGACCGAAGGCGGTCTATGGGCGGCGCCAATTGCTTACCATCAGGAGATCCGTTTAACCATTAACCGGTTAATTCCAAAAAAGAAATGTTGTACTATATAAGACTAACTTTAATTACCATTAAGTAGACATTATAATAAAATGTGTGTATTCTTATTATTGGTTTTATTTCCTTAAAATGTATTCATACCACTATAGTATTATATACAACTTGAAATTAAATTTGGCTTTTGTGGTGATAATCTAAGTGCTAAATTTTCATTCGCAGCACACATCCATTCATGCTCACAAACTTTCGCATTTATAATGTTAGTAGGACACAGAGCTTCTAGCAGGAATTGTCACCGTCTTCTCAAATTATCCATTTAACTATAGGTGTCACTTGGTAGGGATACGTCTGAGTCTGCGAAAACAAAAAAACATTGTTTAGTAATATTGTCCAATATTATGTCATATCCAACAGCCATGATATTTTTTACACTGCCGAAATTTCAATAATTCGTCAATAAACTACGTTTAAAAAACTGACTTCAATCCGATCTTGTTTTGATGTCGGTTGATTAATATACTAATACCTTCTCATAAGTGTGTCAAACACTGTTCTGAAACCCACATCAAAATTGGTTCTGACAATCGCGAGATATTCGCGCACAAACCTACATACAGATCGAACTGAACTGACCTCCTTTTTTTTGAAGTCGGTTAAAATATAACAAAATCTTTATTTTGTTTAAATACCTGAGTGCCTACTGGCCGTACGTTGGTCATTTTCTTCATTTAAAATATAAGCATAAGATTTTAAAGTTTCCATCTTGTCGTAGTCTTCATCGGCTTGTGCTTTGACAATCATATTTTGTAATTTTTCCTTAATAGCCTCAATTTCATTTATCGATACATCCTCGTCATCTTCAACCGGTGCTTCTTTTACTTTAAAATTCCTTTTTTCTTCTGCTTTTTTGAGTACTTTTTTGATTTCCCTACTATTGGATAGAAAGTATGTATCTGATCCTGCTGTTTCATCCTTACTGTCATCGAAATCATTGAAATCTGCGTCTTTGTTTGTATTCCTATCTAGATCAATTGCACTTTCTTTCTGATTTCCATAAGATGAAGCAAATATTAGATTTTTGTAATTTCTAGTCGTTTTTTTATCTTCATTATTATATTTGATTTTGTATCCATTTCTTTTGTTTGCTTCTAACACATAATTGTTAATGACTGGTGTTATATCTCCAACATACTTTGACGTTCTTTTAAATGATTCAATATTATCGAGTCGAGAAGAGAAATGTTTTATGATGTCATCAACTTCTTTTTTCTTCTTATTCTTTCTTTTTCTTTTGTATTTGTTGCGTTTGTGTAATTCTTTGATATATTGTGATTTTGGTTTCTTTGTGGTTGTTTGTGCTGTGGATTATAAGAAGTTTACAATATGTGTGTTTTGATTATTATGATGGCGTGTGGCCACTATCTCGCCTGATGATACGCGATGATGGGACATGCCTACCACGCAATCTATTCACTCAGGGCTTGAAGACAACCAGAGAAATACAGACTGTGGCAAAGAATTCTACTCATTAGAGGTTTGCACAAGAAAACTTGGAGTGGAACGCTGCGTTTGATTGGGTGGAACATCTATCAATAACAAAAGGAAATATTGTGGAAGTTAAACCTAAGTAAAGTTTCAAGTGAGAATGTCTATACTTAAACATTTCGACATTTGTGAGAAGTATAATTAAAAGGCAAAGTAATCAATTTATCTAAACTTACGTTCAATATTTAGAAGTTCACCAAGAATTTTAGTCCGTAAAGGGAATCTAATCTTTAAGGCGTAGTTGATAGAGTCGACAAGCGTTTGTCTGCGTTCTGAACGACTAAGTCTTCTGTACGGTCTTATGAAACTGTCGAGTATACATACACACACCTCTTTTGCGTTCTTTGAACCTGAAATTTATTAATTATTAGTATACTAAGTTGACCATAAAGTAATACCAAAAAATATGTCAAACGGGTTCAATGACCTCCATTCTACCAATCAAGTCCTTTCGATTGATATCAATAATGGAGGTAGTAGTGGAAATAATTAGATTATATTGTATCTTCATCAGGATGAAGAGCATTAAAGAGTGTGTACGAAATATCTGATCGATCGTTCGTCAGGAAGGAGGTAAAAATCCAATTGTTAAAGATCCAAACAAACCAACGGGACAAGCTGAATAAAACCGTTTAAGACATAGTTCATACCAAACGTATTGTCGGCCGCTGACAATGAGCGCGCGTTATAGTTTATCACCTTTCCATTATTCACACCTTACCGACTATACTCTGTTACGTAATGCGATGTCGACAGTGAGCGTACTCACAGTCGGTGGCGGACAATACGTTCGGTGTGGACGATGGTTGACAAAAACAATACGTTTCATATTATTATGCTACGTTACGAGACGCCATGTCAAACTTACCTTTAGGATATGTTTCATATTCTGTTACAGCATCAAAGAGTTCACCTCCTTCGTCTTCATTGTACAGCAGATCAGCATAGTCTATGATGGAGTTCACGTCGACTGATACAGCAGTCTTCCTGACTTGCAGCATGTGGTACATCATCGATGAGTAGCCTGGGAAGATTATAATTCTGAAGGTGATTCAGAGGTCAATTTAACCTAGAGGGCGCCCTAAGCAAGCACCTCATTGACGTCCCTAATTTATTTAGCCGCCGCCACTCTATGGGCAGTTGGGCACGCGCGTCTCGCGGCGCCCCTAGACACTTGGCTAGTTTGCCTTAGCGCTATATTTCACCCACCAGGACACCATGGCAGTGCAATCAGTCGCGCCATCGTTTTGTCTGTAAACTACCAATCTAGACAGCATACAGACACCAGAGTCGCCACACCACACTGCGACGGTAACAGACTCTAATGCTCCCGACTGAGCTGGTCACATCATGTCTCACTTTCTATAGAGCTGTATACATTTTGTTTGTAGCGGTGACTGTTGCGCCGCTATGGTTCTCGATGAAATATAGCCCTAGGGATAACGCTGCTCTGGTGCTAGCATTTACAACTGCGGACAAGCGGCTCGAAAGAGTCTGACACTCCCTCTCGTTTCACCGAAGGCGGGGAGAAGTCGTTGGATGATTTTCCTCTTTAAAAAGAGGACTGTTACATCAAAAATCCACTATAAATGTACACAACATTTACAATGAAACTGCCATACTTACTTCTCACTATATCAATCTCTCCTTCGCTGACGAACCGGGAAATATCAGTGATGACGTTGGTCAGGGGATCGCCGAACCACTCATGTTCAAACCAACTGTAAAATACCACATTTATATACTAATAATATAAATGGGACATTGTGTTAGTGATAATCATGACGAGATGTATGTATTGGGTAAAATTGAGTGATGAAGTGACACATAGTGCTATCAGAGAAAGGTGTGGATTAAAAGATGATAACGTGACAAAGATTGAAAAGGAAATGTCACGATGATTTGGACATGTAGAAACGATGGATGAAAGTACAGTAACGAAAGAAGTATACAGAGCGGATATGATTGAGACCGTCGACAGAGGGCGCCCCGGATGGACAAAAATATCAAGCAGATTGGCGACATATTAAAGAAGGGCCAAAATAAAAGTGCCCTTAACCGACGAGCATCCATGAAAAGACTGAAGGCTGTTGATGAAGCGAAAGAGGTATATAGAAGAATCGTAGCAATTGGCGTTTCATAGTCTCTGCGTACCGCCATGGGAGACAGCGTGAGGTTATGTATGTATGTATGTATGACGATGGTGATGATCATGAAACACTAACGTCCCCACATGTAGTTCTACTTCCTCCAACACATTCTTGACAAGTTTCTCATCCTTCAGAGAAGTAATCCTTAATATTTGTTGTAGGAAGATAACCAAATATCCTTCGTTTTGTTCTTCCATCATCTTGTAGTAAACGTGTCTCGCAGATGGCACCTGTGTCGTGGTTTTTGTTCCAATACCTAAAAGAATTATAAAAAGACATTAAACATTGACTTCTTCCATCGCTTTCGCCCGCGTTCCCGTGGGATAAGAAGCCTACGTGGCATTCCGGACCATAACCTACCCCAAGTTACAAATTTCATTTCGATTCCTTCAGCCGTTGTGACGTGAAGGAGTAATAAACAAACACGTTGTTGTACGTGTCTAATGTACGGACATAATCTACCAGACGACATTATATTAACAGTTAGTCATCATCATAGCTCTAAATATGGCAGTAGTTCAGTAAAATCTTTAAAAGAATAGACAAGGTGGTATAGCTTGACATGCGATACATACCTCCAAATACGATCCCTGTGTGGTCTTGTGGTCCCAAACTTACAGATGTGCTGGTCAGTGGATTGCGGTCTAGTGTTCCGAAAACTTCAAAACCGCGCGTCTGTGGTGTAACTCTGTACAAAAACCAGTGAAACCCGGAATGAGGACCGATTTTTCCAACGCCAGTTAAATATCAGAGGAACAACTTTGAATATTTGAGAATGACTGTGCAGCCGTGCGGTTGGTGCGGTGGCTGGGCCACCGGCTGCCAGGCAACGTGTTAAGGGTCTGGATGTCATGTGTATATGAACTTATATGTTTATAAACGCGCGACACAGGAGAAAACCTAGTGTCCTCAACGTTTACGAAAAAAATGTTCCATGCTTAAACCTGTCAAATGTCAATTTTATTCTACGGTTAAGAACAAGAATTATCTGTTGATTGAAAAATCGGCCTTAAGTTAGGTAAACAAGCAATCGGTGCCGCCCATGGACACCTGAAACACCCGAGTTATTACAAATGCGTTACCGGCCTTTCGGAAATTGGGAATGTGAGGATTGTGGGGAATTCGGAGATTGGGGAGGGGGGCAATTAGGCCTCCGGTAACCCCACTCACACGACGAAACACAACTCAAGCGTTGCTTCACGTCGGTTTTCTGGTCGGCCATGGTATCACTCTGGTCGAACACGAGTAAGAAATACTTTAGAAATACGTACCTTCCCATTTCTACTGCAGCAGCAGATAATTGGTAGTCCGTAGGTGGTAGAGGAGACACTGGAGGAGTCAAAGGACCTTCTCTATGTACTGGAGTAGCAGAATTCTTCATTTGTTGTTGTTGGGCCCACAATTGCGATTTGGACAAAGGACGTAGTGACTGTGGCACTGTTTAAATGAGTTTATTGATTAGTACTATTAACTCGTCGAGTACCGTATTTATAGTCACAATTAAAGAACAATAGGTTGCGGTCACCGGTGACCGCTCGGTGTTTGACAGTTTAACAATATGTCGTGGTGGCCCGGAGGTTCAAGACACCTACACCTTCAAGATGTATTCTCATGCATTACAGAGCGAGTTCGAGATATGGCAAGTACCAATGAGAGTTTTTCTAAGTTAGACACCATTGACAAACGGTGAAGGAAATCAGTCCAAGGAAACCTGAGGCTATTGATGAGACTTTGACTATCTCATTACTCGAGTCGTTAGCTATCAGATCACCATAAAAGGGGCTTAGCAATGTTTTGAAATAAGCGGTTAGTTGGAGGAGTAGAGCTCATTAAAACAATATAAAAAATACTTTGTAATATAATACTTACTGGCAGTAAGCCCGGCCCAGAGCGACTTCGTAGTCCACCTCTGAACAGGCGTAGTGGCGGTCGCTTGGCTGAACCAGTTTACAAAATTATCCACGTTTTTCCCTGACACCGGAACACCGGATTCAAATTTATGTTTTTGGACATTACGCACTAAATACTTTGAAAGTTGTTTTGTAGTTCTCCAAGTTGAAGGTGTAGTTGTCAAAGGAGGATACCTTGAAGTCGTTGGTATAATTGTGTAAAGACCTGGTGGCTTATTACTTTGGCTGATGAACCCAAAATATTTATTGAAATCGTCTATTAAACTTCGTGTCAATTTGCCAAAGGTTGGTGGTGTTACAACCAAATCAAATGAGTCGTTTCGTGTCTGCACCGGGTATCCAGGGTAGTCGGAGCTGATAGTGTAGGGCGGTGCTTCTTCTGCCTCGTCTTTTGTCATATTGCCAAAGTTTGGCGGCGTTATTGGTATATCGAAAGTCTCGTTTCGGGGGGTCGGTTCCGTAGTATCAGGATAGAGTACGGGGTTGAAAGGGGGAGGTTCGTAGGGGTATCCAGGGTAGTTAGTGTTAAAGGTGTAGGGCGGCACTGTGGTCGGTGGCGTCAGCTCAGTCTCGACAATCTCTTCTTCTACATATTCTTCTTCGGTAGTACGGGGTGGTGTCGATAGTGTTGGCAAAAAAGTAGATGTCACATCCTCATGTGTTACGCCTTCTACTCCGGTCTCGCCCCAAAACATATCTGTGACGTCATAACTTAGAAAATTACTGTCTTCCGGAATCGGAGCGTTTTCATAATCGATTTGTGATTTGAGGATCTTCCTCTCTCTCCTTATCTCTTTCTGTACTCCATGGAGGAGGGTGTCGATTTCCTTTAGTGATTTGTGTAGGTTTCTTGCCAGGAATGTGTGGTTTAAGATTTCTGGAAGGAAATTAGAATTTAATTGATGATTTTTTTTTTGATTCCGTTGCAGCAGTCACTTTCAACTATACAACTTACTTTTTTGATGGTGGAATATTAGTCAATGACTTCTACCGCCTATGGTGAGTGAGAGAGTGTCAGACTCTTACTGACTAAACACCACCCCGTTCCTTCTCCTGCATAGAGCCGGAGTCCTGGTGACTAGCTAGTGTCCGCAGCTCCAGGTGTAACTGTTAGACTACAGTATCTGCTTACCACCAGGCAGACATATTTATAAAAAAGATACACGACAAAATAATGAAATAATACAAATTGTAATATGCTTACTCTTATGGACAATTTTACAGACGAACAATTCATAATTTAGAAAAAGCGTTATTAATATTACTTTCATAGCGAATTATACACTCTAACGTTAATTATGAACCATTTTTTGTCTTTATTTTAAACGTAACGACTGAGAATCTATTTCTTTATTTGGTTATAGTATAATACAATTTTGTTATTCAAGTCAATTGAACTTAAAACAATCTGCGCACTTTTATAGTTTTATGAGCTGTTTGTTTAATAAAAACTACTGTTTTGTAATATATATTTTAAGGTTGGCAACACTTCGCTGTTGCAAGTGACTGTGGTTTAAAAAGCCGTTATTTCAAAAGAAGATTGGTTTAAAATTAGGTACAGTTGATGATTGTTAGCTTGTTAAAAATCAGTAACAATTCCAATGTTTACTGTCAATAAAATAGTTGTAATAATTTTATTGGATTACAAATATAAAAATAGTTGCTCGCGCAATGTATAACAAGTTTTATGATACAATAAAATGTTAGTATTTTTATATTAAAATGAAAGTGTGCGCATGTGTTCTGCTGTTCACCATACTCGGTATGTATTTTGTCTTTGTTGCAATACAAATTTTTCATTGAATTTCTTTTATAAATTAAGTAAACATTGAGTCTACTCTGCATACCTAATGTGGTTCACAAAATACGCGCGATGTGTCGCTTAGTCAATGAAAACAATTGCTATCTCTTTCCACGTGTACTGAGAATGAAAACGGAAATCAGCTGACTAGTTCGTCACGATCTAATCTACTAGATACTCAATAGGCAGGCTAACAAGGGTTTTATAAAAGTGCAATTACTTACCAGGTACGGCATTCTTCCAAAAAACTAATGTACGTAAATAAGATGATAAACTTCCCATCACACTTAAAACAGGCTTTGGACTGTCAAGTTAGCGTAAGAATTGTATTTTTTCTATTAATTTTAATTGTTATCTAATAACAATAAACTGTAACTTAGCGTATTTTAAAGTTAGTAATCTTATTTACAACAATTGCATCGTATTCACAGTTATTTACACACTCCCTACCTAATTATCTACAAAACTGTTGCACAAGTCCACCTTCGCGTTGCACACAATTGAAGGCACGCTTCCGAACATCATGTCCTAACATTATCATTATTTAATGTGTTCGGTTTACTTTTACTTGCCTAAATGCGCAATGCGATTTTGCGCGTGATTTAAACGGCAGCATCCCTTGTGCTCGCAAGAGGATGACGCCGAAAGAACTCTAACACTTTCTCTTCGAGTTCGGCCGATAATGGAGGCCTGCCTGCCGGGTCAAAGCGGCCGTGTTCTCGATATCGGTACCTACACTGCATCCAGGATGGTATGATGACTCACTCGCACATCGAACCTCTGGTATAAATTAACCGCATGTGCTGTTGTGGAGTTACACCGCGGTAGCACTACACCATTTCAAGATATTGTTGATTTGCATTTCGTCGCCTGGGAGGCATTTTTACGTAGCGCGCGCGTATCTCTGACACTGAAACTAACGTCCTTGTAGGCGGGGGTGGACTGGGCTACTGGCGGGCGGGCGGAGCGTGCGACGAGTACTGGGGGTGTGCGCGGGGGTGTGCATGCATTGGCGTGCTCCTCGCCGCCAAGCCAGCGCCAGTGTCGGCGCCGAGCTGTCTCGTTCCCGAACGCCCCGTCATACACTGTTGCCATTCTTCTTTCTGTTCTTCTTTCAATCTGCCATTATCTCGATAAGAATGGCAACAGTGCATGACGGGGCGGCGCCCGCGTTTTGCGAATTGAATGAATTCGTTGCAGTGCCATAGTATAAAGAAAAGGGAATTAGGCCATCTTCTTCCCAATCCGCGATATAATTGCCTACTGTCTTAGGGTTGTCACTTTTAGTTAAATATTAGGCGCAGCTTACATACCAAGGTTATTTTCTTTTTCCGTCTCCTTGACCAAATATTGGTACCTATTACATTGTTCTCACATTATTGAACTCAACGTAAGAATGTAACCAAAAATTGTATTGTAAACCTGATTGAAAAAGAGTAACCTATGGAGTTTCTTGCTCGTTCTTCTCCATAGGAATCTACACCTTGGGAATGAGCAAATAGCTTCACTAGAGGACTGACCTACAGACTGAGATTTTTTCTGACTGAGATGTTATATATGTATGTATGGGTGTTACATTGTACAGTGGTATTACGTGACTGCCTCGTTGTTCGAGTGGCCAATATGTTTATTTTTTATTAATCAGTTTTATTTGTCTTACAGTGAACGTAGGTAGAAGTGCTGCTGACTCTCCGCCCTTGAATGGAAGGGCCGTTCATTTGGCTTTAGAAACCGTCCTAGAATTTAACGACAAAGACAAAGAATCAGATCTAAAGTTTCTAGACAAAGTAAAGAATCTAATAAACAAAGTTAAGACTGTGATTGATAAATCAGGCAGCTATAGAAGGGACTTCAAAGATGGGGACATTGAAACACTCACCGATTTTATACAACAAGCTGTCAGTATACTAAACTCATACGACGACGCAACATTTGGTGATTTCTTCAAAACTCTAGACGATGAAGTACGAAAATATCATTACAGGGGATGTAAGTTTCATGAATTGATGGAGAATTTTGAAATTAGGTCGTTGTTAGGTTCTGCATTTGATTTGATTAACACTAGAAAGACCAAGGCAGTCAAATTGACCGCAAGGCAATTTCATTGTTAAATATTTCACGAACTATCTTTTTATTTCTTTTCATATTTTATGACTTTTCCTAATTAGCTATTCTTAGGCTATTTCTATATATTTTGAAAAAATAACTATATTTTGTATATGAGTTTCAATTACAAATACCTATTAAGACCGCGCACCGTCAATGTGACGGCATACATATAAAGACGGCGATAAGAATAGTGAACAACGATCTCTTCAAACTAAAGTGGGTACTTTTGTTTTTATTTATGTTGGGTTGAATTCTGAGTAATTTCTTACTACCTAACTTGTTTATTTTATAGTAGGCATTTGTTTCGTTCGGTGAGCAGTCGTCCGATTACCCGAATACGTGTTTTTGAAACTAGTTCAACCCTATTTCAAAAAGGGCCGTAACGTAACCACTGACAACTTTTTCACGTCTCTAAATTTAGTCAAATAACTATTGGTCGAAAAGACTAGTATTGTTGGAACAATGCGGCGTGCAAGACGAAAAGTACCACTGATTTGTAGAAGTATTCGTACTTCAAGATATGAAACTTTTATAATGAAAACCGGTAGGTACCGATACAACCCTTACTGTCACATCAAGGAAAACCAGGAAACCAGGAAATTTTTTTATTATTTTGAGTACTCTGCACCCCAATGTAGGCATAGGTACTGATCAAAAAAAGTTGCCTGAAACAGTTGAATTTTACAATGCAACAAAATTTGGCGTAGACATCATCGATCAAATGGCACGCAAGTACACCGTAAAAGCTGGTAGTCGGAGATCGCCTGTTCACGTATTTTATAATATACTTGATTTAGCAGCTATAAACTCGTGGATTCTATACCAAAAATCTCAAACATAAAAATTTCTCGTCATGATTTTATCCTTCAACTAGTGAGCGAACTACGTGAAGAGTATGTGAAAAAAAAATCCACTTCAACTATGACCCACGAACAAGAAACTAATTCTGACACAAATGAACCACTTACAACAAACAATAAGAGGCGGCAATGCCAAATCAATAGTAATTGCAAAAAGTATAAAACATGCGAAAATTGCACTATCTGTAAAAAACTTGTTTGTGGAAAATGTACAAAAGAGTCTAAAAAAACTATTACTTGCTACAAATGTTACTCAGCTTAATGCATTTTTTTATTATTAATAAAACAATAAATTTATATTGATTTTATTTTATTTTAATGCAAAATATGCAATAATTTCAAAAGTTTTCTGACTTAATCTCTAGTACCGTCATATTGACCGCTGCGGTCTTTGAAGGTATAACACGAAGCCCGGCCCTTCTAGTGTTAAAAATAAACCAGTCCAAGTTATAAAGGCATACATGAACGTGCTTGCTGATACGTTGAAAGACAAAAGTTACGATAGCAATGTTAAAGAAATCATAAATTACATCAATTCCTTGTACGGAACAGAGTCTAAAAACAAACTGACAAAATTTTTACAAGAAATAGACAACTATGGAAAAGGTACGTCGAAGAAGAAACACAACACTTTAGCCAGAATTCTTAGAGAAGGGATCCGGTCTATAATATTTGATCATTATACTGAATTGAACCCTAATGCAAGAAGAGAGTTGAAGGCCAAAATAGAAATGTACTTGAAAAAGTGCAAGGAATCTCCATCTAATTTAACCAGTAATAGTGTCAAGTCAGAAACAATACTGAAAAAGTCGCTCCTACACGGCGTATATAAGAAAGAAACTATAAAACCATCTGAAAAGAAACTGGCCAGAATAGATATAGATCCAAGGGATTTTAAGAAGACATCTGTTGAAAGACTTTCAGGGGATGAGAAAAAAGGAATTCGACACCATAGAAAAGAAAAGAAAAGACAATTGAAATTTCCCGCAGTCCCTGTACCAACAGTAAAACCAGTAAAAGAAGACAAAGATTTGAGAGCTCAATCAGAAGATAAAGAACTATCATCACTATCTTCAAGTTCCGAAGATGATGATGAAGCAACAGACGAAACCGTTGAAAGAAACTCCATAGACATCTCACCAGAAAGAAAGAATGCATACAAAACTATGAGATATATAACACTATATCCTGAAGCAATTACAAATGTCCCGAGAAACAATGACAAAGATACAAATGTCGTTCATCGATCAGGCAGAGCCACCACACCAAGACAACACAGATTCCTAACCATGTGGGTGGAAGAATCGACAGGAGGAATTCCTCAATACATACTGAATAAATACAAGGCCACAACGCTGAAACCACGCAAGCGAAAGCATAAGAAAGCACACACGAAGAAGGAGAAGAAACATAAGAAGAAGCACACGAAAACTAAAGACAAACATCATAATAAAGATGAAAGTAGAGAAAGTACAAAGAAGAAACATGGACAGAAATATAAAACACATCTTAATACAAGATATACAAAGAAATATGTAACAAAACACACAACTACATACAAACCTAGCCGTGAATATCATTATACTTCCAAGAAACATAAAAGTAAACTGAGTTATGAGAAACTGAAACATAGCAACAGTAAGAAGATACATAAACTCCAAGAGATCAAAGAGGTTCCTCCAGGATTGTCAACAAAAAAAATTAACAACATATTCGGACCTGTGAGATTGGATGTTAAGTAAGTTTTGTAATATTTTTCAGCATTATCATCGTCAGCCACAAAACATTCACTGCAACATTTGGCCCTCGTTTTTACTGACGCGGAGTGGGACGGAGAGGAGCTTAGGCTTAGGCGGTGTATGAATTGACGAATCACTATGGTCGAAATCTCTGCTCCGCTTCAATGGAAACAGCACGAGCGGGATCTAGCGGAGCTGAGCGAATATTTCTAATAAAAATACAGCGAGGCGATGCGGTGTAGAGGACAATGAGCATTGGGGTGCAAAGTGGAGGACCGCGGGGCGCAACAGTCAATGCTACTGCATCTGATTCGTTTTCTAGTAGAGAAAGATATAAAAGATTGCTTTGTTTCTTTTCAAACGCATAAATGCGCAATTCCAAAAGTATGCTCCGCTCCGCTCCATTCCAATCCACTCCACTTCAGTGAAAACACTGACCGCATATTTACATCTAAACACTAACAAAATCATTTTCGGTTTTTATACTTAACTTCTCACAGAAATTATGTTCAGAATTCTCAAACTCTATATTAATAAAACCTTAATCTGAGAGTCAAAACATGAACCACGTTGATGGCAGTATACTTCAACTAACAAATTCTTTAACTTCCAGTCGGAACCTACTCCTAAACAAAATAACAGTAAGAACAACTTCGGCACCATCTCGACGACCACCCATTTTGCGGACAACACCCTCTTCACTAAAATCTGTAGTAGAAAAGAATACAGATGAAATACAAAAATTTAACACATCTATCTCACCTTCCAATTCAACCATTACCCCAGGTGTAGGTCTGTCAATCCCAGCATCAAAATCCTTAATTGCCGAAAGGTTCAATATATTGAATAGACCTGTAAAGTGGGATACGCGGAAAAATGCCGAACACCATCCACTGTCTGATGGAGGACTTTCTATTGAAAATTTTGACAAAAAAAAGCAAGCGAGCTCAAGCAAGGAAGACCCGTTTGTCATGGAGCGTTTGCACCGATTAGAAAAAGAGCTGAAAGAAGTAAAAAATAGAATAAATACTGCCACAAAAAGAACGAACAAAAGAGAATTAGGTAAAAGAAGTAAAGAGAACACAGAGAGAGCAGAGAAACACAGAGAAAATGATCCAGATAGTTACGACATAAGAAGTGTAGAACATGATAGAAGAAAACATCATAAAACTACAGAACTAACTACAACACGAAATAATATCAGGAATGAACAGCCGAAACATGCAAGCACTGTCAAAAAACCAGAATATCAAATCGAATACAAAATCGTCAAAGAAAAAGGTTCCGGTTTCAAAGAAATTATAGCAAATCATAGATCTAAAGTAAGTGACAAAATAATACCAATTGACATTCACGGAAAAGTCGTGAAGACACGAAGCGATGAAAGACAGGTGAAGTCACACAGCAACACGATACTCATTGAATTTTCGACAAAACTATTTCCAATTATGACCACAAAAGAATCTACAAGTACTGTAAAAACTACTGAAGTAGATTCTACAACGGCTACACATTTTACAGGCAAAACTCTGTAGTGACTGGGTACTATTGTGGAGACAAGTGAAACGACTGACTGTTGGAAGCCGACTGGCACATATATTTATTACACATATTCATATACTCGACATTGTATAGCGCATCGGATATATAAGTAGATATACAGATCCTACATCATTCCCCCTTTTCAAAATTTTGATACATATTGTAAAAATAACTTATAGTAGCTATAGTACAATTAGGAACTTACAGATATTATTTAATACAATGTTATATTAGTTAATTCACTGTTAGTATCATTATTCTTCGTACTTTGTCATTATTTATTATACTTAATACACTTTAATTTTACTACTTTGCTAATTTACTAAACTTTTAAAAAAAATTATTCAGATCCAAGTTGATTAATCTATGATTTTGTAGTACATGTTATTATATATGTATTAATCTATGATTTTGTAGTACATGTTATTATATACGTATTACTTTCTATGCACTTCAACACAGTTAGCTTCCTGATATACACTTATCTTTTAATATAGCACTTATAGTTAATTACCCATCGCTGTGACACTTTACATTATTTGATGGGGTGGAATTTGTTGCTGAGCCAGCGATACGTTATTTGCACTGTGCCACACCGTCATCTCTTTGTTCAACATTTTACGAGTACCTTTCTTGCATTTCTTGAACATCATGTATACTATGTAGATCGCAACTATGATGCCAATAATCGTCAATATAAGTTCATTTCTGGACAATGTTTGCTCGAGCTGTGAAGCGGTTGCTCCATTAGCACCGTTTTGAGCAATGATGACTTCCTCTGTTTTCTTTTCCACACTGTACGATTTGCCCATTTTGGTAATAACTTTGTATTGTAATGCAGTAATCTGATTATAAATATTTGACGTATCAAGTTGTTGAACACACAATGATAATTATGTTTATTGAAGGCGGTATTCTATTACTTCCGTTGGCTCGACAACAAAGTCCTAAGTCAGCATTCGTGACACATGCCTTATGTTACGAAACTTAGTAGTTATTGTATATACTATTTACATTATCTGGCTTTGCTTTTTATATAATTTTTTTATAATCTAAATATTTATTATATGAATCTAACTGGTGTTTTCACAGTTCTTCCACTCTTGGTTTTTTTTACAATATTATCATGATTATCGACTGATGTGTTATTTGACATATTATGAGACGTGTTATTTTTTAGTATGTAAGCTGGTTTTAATCTATCTATAGACACTGTTAGATCCCTATCTGGCAATTTAAGTTTATATACTTTGTCTGTAATTCTTTCTAGTATTTCATAAGGTCCCGCATATGGACAAACTAAGGACTTTTTTATCATATCATTTCTTAAAAATACATGTGTACAGTCCTTAATATCTGGATGAACGAAAAATGCTTTGTAATCATAACATTTTGAACTACTTGGTTTGTATTGCTTAATAATATCTCTAATATTTTGTACTACCGTATAAGGTTCATAAGTATTCTTAGTTTCGACAAAAAACTCTCCTGGCAGTCGCAGGGATCGACCATAAACCATCTGAGCAGCACTGACACCTGTTTCTGACCTGATAGCCGCACGAAGTCCTAACATAACGCAGGGGAGTTCGTGAGCCCAATTCAGGTTATCACTTAATTTAGCCATAAGTGATGTTTTTACACTCCTGTGCCATCTTTCAATTTTTCCGTTACTTTGTGCATGGTAGGGAGAAGTTCTAATTTTGTGAATACCTAGGTACGCCATTAATAATGTGAACAATTTACTTTCAAATTGCCTACCTTGGTCACTGGTAAGTTTAACAGGGCAACCAAATCTACAGATCCATTCTGTATACAACTTATTGGCTACCGTTTCAGCTGAAATATCTTTTAGAGGATATGCCTCTGGCCAACCAGTACCTCGGTCAATTATTGTAAGACAGTACCTATCATCTTTCGAAGTTATAGGAAGTGGTCCTATCAAATCTATATGAATGTGGTCAAATCGATCAACAGAAGGGTATTTGCCATAGTTCGATATAATATGCCTGTTTATTTTGGCTTTTTGACATCTTATACAAGTTTTAGTCCACAAACTAATATCACGATTCATGCTAGGCCAATAATATTTTTCTTTTATCATTTGGCGAGTAGTACGGATGCCAGGATGACTAAGATTATGTACTGCATGAAATATGTCTTTTCTAAATTTTTCCGTTAAAAATGGTCTAACATTTTCTTTTGATATCTCACAGTATATTGTGTGGTTAGTGTTAGGAATACGGATTTTTTTAAACTGACACTTAGAGTCTTTTAACATTTCCTTTAATTCTGAGTCTACATTCTGATCTATTGCTAATTTCTCATAATCGATAACAGATGACTCACATGTTATACTCTCTATGCGTGATAATGCGTCTGCGACTACATTATCCTGTCCACTCACATGACGTATGTCAGTTGTGAACTCACTAATAAATAATAGTTGCCTAATTCGTCTTGGGCATTCCTTTTTATTTTGTTTACATAACTTTGTGAAAGCAAATGTTAGAGGCTTGTGGTCGGTGTATATAATTAATTCATGACCTTCAAATAGGCTTCTAAAATGCTCTACTGCTAAGAATATGGCTAGCAACTCTCTATCGTATGTACTGTACTTTTTCTGTGTATCTGATAACTTACGTGAGAAGTAACCTAACGGATGCCATTTATTATCAATGTATTGCTGCAAGACGGCTCCTATGCAAGTATTTGATGCATCGGCAAAAAGTGCATACGGCACATGTGTTGCCGGGTACGATAACGTGACTGCGTTTGAAAGGCTGTCTTTGCATACCTGATATGCTTGCTCTGCATCCGGTGTCCATTGAATTGTTGTGTTATCGTTCTTTTTAGCGTTATGTATATACCTATTTAATATTTCTAAGTATTTAATAGCACCTGGTAAATGATTCCGATAAAAATTTACCATGCCTAAAAATTTTCTTATTTGACTTACATTTTGGGGTTTTGGATACTCTATAATAGCTTGAACTTTGCTTTCTAGCGGACTAATACCTAAGGTTGAAACTTTGTAACCTAAAAATTCGACATTGGTAGCATTAAAGGTACATTTGTCTAAATTAATGGTTATACCATACTCATTTAGACGTTGAAATACCTGTTCTAGGTGTATAATATGCTGTTCAGGCGTTTCAGAGCTTATTAAGATATCATCAGCATAACAAAATAAAAATTCTAGACCGGCTAATACTGAATTAGTCATAAATCTTTGAAAGGTTTGTGCTGCATTTTTTAAACCGAAAGTCATTCTTTCAAATTCATATAGGCCAAAAGGTGTTGTTATTGCAGTTTTACAGATATCATCGGGATTAATTAACACGTTGTGATAAGCTTTTTTTATATCTATTTTAGAAAATATTTTCTTCCCTGTTAATAAATACGTAAAATCTTGCACTCGAGGGATAGGATACCTATCAGGTTTAGTGATAGCATTTAATGCTCGGTAATCACCACAAGGTCGTATCTGCCCATCCTTTTTCGGTACTATATGTAAAGGACTGGACCATGGTGATTTTGATGGCCTGCAAATGCCTGACTCTAACATATTTTTGAATTCTTCTTTTGCCAATTTATAGCGTTCTGGAGCTAATGGTCTAGGTTTACTGAATACTGGCGGACCAGTGGTTTCAATATAATGGTAAACCGCATGTTTTGGTGTTTTCTTAAAAGACATAGGTTTAACGACATCGGGATACTTTTTTAATATGTTGTATATTGGATGATCGTTTTTTATTGTAGAAACTGTAGTTACGTAATGATTTACAATAGTCCCGCGAACTGCCAGATTAGTAACTTTGTCTATCAAACAACGTCCGTTAATGTCTACAACTAATTTATGAAAATCCAAGAAATCTACACCTAATATTGGCTGCTTAATGTCACAAATAACAAAAGTCCATGTAAATGGTCTCCTTAATTTTAAATCGAGCGTAATAGTCTTGGATCCGTAAGTCCTTATCGCAGAACCATTTGCCGCATACAATTTATATCTAGAGTTATCAACTAATTGTTCCTTACTTTTAATCATAAATTTAGGTAATACAGATATTGAAGCTCCTGTATCTATCAAAAATTTTAGATTAGACTTATTATCACTTACGATTAGACGGTTATCTTTCACTGCACAACTTCCCGTCACCGGCTGTACTTCCATCAGTTTTCCTCACCAGGAGAGGATGACGCTGCCTTCCAGCTGCACGGAGCGACGCATTTTCGTGCCTTGTTCCTGTAGCGAAAGTGGTACGCACATAGCCAGTCCGGACTATCAGGCGTCCTACGTGGTCTTGAACGCGAATGTGACCGTGAAAAATTCCTGGGTCGACTCCTACTTCTGTATCTTCCTCTTCCCCTTTCCATTCCTTGTATTTTTAGGTTGATCTTCGCTATTTCCGCCATTATTGTAGCTACATCCTGTGTAGTTGCATGATGCGAACTGCTGTGGGCTACTTCACTGATCTGTGCAGGCTGATTTGTTTCCATAACTTTGTCAGCTATTGCAGCTAACTCTTCCAGATCTTCGGCAGAAGTCACAGTGAGTACGGCTCTAACTGCTGCAGGTAGGTGACCTTGCCATAATATTTTCAATGCTTCATCTTTTATTTTCCCTCTAGCCAATTCCTTCATCCTTCTTAAAAGTTGACTAGGTTTTTGATCACCTAGCTCCACTTCTGATACCAATTTTTGTATTTGTCTGGTTTCAGACTCTTCATAAATTTGTAAGAGACGACTTTTCAAGGCTTCAAATTTGTTTGTGTCTGGAGGGTTTGCAACTATATCCGCTACTTGCTGGATCACTTCTTTATTCAGCTTTGCGACGACCATATAATATTTATTTGCGTCGGACGTTTTTTGAGGCGTCAAAATTGCTTCTACTTGGATGAACCATAGCCTTGGATTTTCTGGCCAAAATTCGGGAATTTTATTTGCCACTGACAATGAGGATATTATTGCAGTCGATTCTTCTGATTTCACTATTGCCTGTGTTGCGCCAATTGGATTCATTTTGATTTAGAGTTCCCAGCACTAGATTATCACTAGCGTGCACTTATTTGTGTCAGCACAGTGTCGAGTATCTTTGTTAGGCGTCGTTCGTCGGGGTCGCCAATGTAGTGACTGGGTACTATTGTGGAGACAAGTGAAACGACTGACTGTTGGAAGCCGACTGGCACATATATTTATTACACATATTCATATACTCGACATTGTATAGCGCATCGGATATATAAGTAGATATACAGATCCTACAACTCTAAGAGATGTCACCACCACAAATAATACAAAAACTTCTAAAAAACATCACGATCATACTAAAACTACCACAGTAGCTTCTATTCCTAGTATTGCCACTGTAACTACAACTACCATTGTTCATGATAAATTTAAATCAATTGATATTGTTCCGAGTGATTTCACAGTGCCTGCTAAACATGTAGCGGCAGATCTCAATGCGAAGGTTACAACTAAAACAGTTAAACAACAAACTACTGAAAATAGAGGAAAAGATGCGATTGTGATGCTCAAAGGAATAATAGAAAAATCTGGCAAAAGTGTCGCTCAAAATGAAGTTTAAGCAATATGAATGGGGGCTACCATTTCTTCGAACACCAGGTAACACAAATGTAGGAACAGTGTTCGTCAAGCCAAGGATACACTAGGGTACAAATATCCTGCGACACGTGTCGCCAGCGACGTTGGGTGGAGTAGCGCGACGTTGCGGGACTTTGGTCGACATGTCTGGCAACATCAACGTCGCTGTAGAGGCGCGCATTGTCGCCTTATAATTATGTCGGGCGACATCGGCAGGCTTCGCTGGACATGTCGTGGGACATTTGTCCTCTAGTGTATCTTTGGCGGTATCTAATCACTGTCGCTGTCAAGAATTGAGTGACCAGTGGTGTGACACTAACTAATTCCCTGTTGGACGAAAAGACGAGAGGTTCACACTAGCTCCATCTAGTGAACAAAACAACGGTAGCCCCCATTCTGCTGTTAATGAAATATGTTTTCTTGGATATTTTTGGGTTCATTGTGTAATCGAAATTCATTATTTCTGCTATGAATGTATTTATTTCTAGCAAACAATTTTATTGACACATTAAATAAAGATATAAAAAAAATCATTGTTTTCAATTTTCGATTTCTTTTAATGTTCCTTTTAAAAGTGACATTTGGCTCACCACGAGACAATTATGGTACTGTCCCTACCCGCCGGAACCGACCAAGGGACTACACTCGGACGTACGCCGTCTCAAAAGCCTATCCTGTGCTAACTACTGAAGTCATTTATTTTAATAGTTGCCCATTAAGTTATAATTTAACATCAGGGATTGTTCTATACCGCAATGCTGTGTACAAGACGCTACCATGGAACCGTAGCGATGGCGGTACAGTGCCCATCATCGTGTAAATGGGCCCTTATTTTGATCGGGAATCGCACGTACGACACGTTGCGCAGCAGCCGGTTGCCCAACCCCTGCGCTGAACGAGCTACAACAATACTGTATCAGATTCATAAATCGAACATGAACATTTACCGAGGAAGGTTATACGCCGTGAAATCTATTTCGTTTTCATCCCGCGACATAACAACTTGCCATAACGTGTACTTTCTGTGTATAAAGTAAAAACAAAAAATAAAAACGTATTTTTATTTTTGTTTAAAAAAACGTAGCGTGTTGCAACTTGGACCACCACCTTACAATGCGCGCAAAATCGCGGCCGCTTATGAGCTTAGGGCCGCGGTCTAAAATCGTGTACATGTTTTACTTACCTGCGTGCGCGCCGTGTGCGGAGGTACTGCATCTGTCTCACGTAGTCACGTCGACGACCAAAGCTATTGTACACGCGCTTAGACATTGCTTGCCTGCTTGTATTAATTTTATAATATATTATTTCTATCTTCTATCCAATAATACTATTCATTTTATTCGAGTTTTGTTCTTCATTTTTCCTGCTAAACCGCTGCACAGTCGAGCTATAATGGACTCTAACGTCCTAGCAATAGGAATTAATTTCCTGAATTAGCTATTGTTTAATGTACAATTACCCACAACAAAAAAAATATAGAAATACGCACATGAAACACTAAACCACAGATATATTAAAACAAACTTCTTTGCATTAGACGTTTTGTAGACATTACTCGCATCGCACGTGCCACCCGACGAGAAATACCTCTTTGAGAAGTACATGGCGCGATGTTTAATTTGATAATGTACTATGAGTTCGTATGCGCTTTCGAAGTTTGCTTTTTGCAATGGTTCATCGGTTGTTTTTTGTTTTAAACATTTTATTTCTTTGTAAGACTATTGTATTGCCAAGACCGAACCATTACTTCGGGACGAGAACGAAATACATTTCACGGTGTATGCTATAAAACTTCACGCTACGAAGAGTTTTTTTTTTAAGGGGGGAAAATCATCGATTGACTACTTCCGCCTGGGTGAGGCGGGAGGGAGTGTCAGACTCTTACTGACTAAAAACCACCCCGTTCCTTCTCCTGCACGTCGAGCCGGAACCCGTTAGGTTCTCCGCGACACGCTACTAAGAGTAGAAACCGAGCAGAGCAGGTATAACCGCGCGGGAATGGCTAGTATTTAGATAAATATTTGCATTCGTTGCGACGAGCTCTGGGGTGTGCGCGGGGGTGTGCATGCATTGGCGTGCTCCTCGCCGCCAAGCCGGCGCCAGTGTCGGCGCCAAGCTGTCTCGTTCCCGAACGCCCCGTCATACACTGTTGCCATTCTTCTTTCTGTTCTTCTTTCAATCTGCCATTATCTCGATAAGAATGGCAACAGTGCATGACGGGGCGGCGCCCGCGTTTTGCGAATTGAATGAATTCGTAGCAGTGCGGCAATACGGGATGGTTTTTATAGCATTAAATCAATACAAATTAATACGTAGATTTTTTTTGAATGAAAAAATAGGCAGATAATTATATAGCACCTTATATAAATAAATAAAAAATTAAGACTGCCTCGTAGGTCGAGTGGTCGCAAGTGCGACTGCCGGGTAAGGGGTTCGATTCCCGGGTAGAGCAAAGTACTACTGGGTTTTTAAAAAAATCTTAGTAGTAGCACGGAGTCTAGAATTGTGTCCGGTTTATGTCAATAGGCTCACCCCCTATTACATGGGACTCATAACATAAATAGTGAAAAGTGGGTGTTACATTGTACAGTGGCATTAAGTGCCATTGTGTGCACCTCTGCCTACCCCTACGGGGATAAAAGGCGTAATGTTATGTAGACATTAGTTTTTATTAAAACACATCCAACTATATTGTTGTTGTCGTTGCGTTCAAAGACAGTTCATGAATGACTTTATAGATGGCGCTATAAACCAACAATATGTCGACGCGAAACATGGCCGACTAACTTTATTTTATTACTCAATAATAATATAATATTTTACTGACATTACGTAACATGGGCCTCCCCCAATGTCATTCATATCGGCTGGTTGAAACTACGGCCTTTATAAGGTCGTCTGAAGAACCAAGTACCTACCTCATTTACATCTTATAAAACTGTAGAAGTGTAAATTTTGTACATTGAAAATATCACAAAAATAAATAGTGAGGGTGTTACTAGATAGACAGCGAACCCAAGAAGGTGATTAAAAAGAAAATTGTCTGTCTGTCTGTATGTTCACGCATCACGCAAACACTACCAGTCCGTTTACGATGAAACTTGATATGATTATACTTTAATATCTACACTAAAAAACAAACTTAATTGTGCGGCTCAATCTCTAGACACAGTTACTGTACCAAACGCAAATATAAGTTTGTCGAATGTTAGGCTGCCCGCTGTGGACTTTACGCTGTAACTGTAGTGTCGATGGTTGAAATTAGCTTGTAAACAATAAAACTCACGTATTCATAGTTTGTACAGGATTTTAATTCACTTGCAATGTTTTGACTACCTCGTTAGCCGAGTGGACGCAAGTTCGACTGCCGGGCAAGGGGTCTCGGGTTCGATTCCCGGGTCGGCCAAAGTACTGATGGGTTTTAAAAAAAATCTCAGTAGTGGCACGGAGTCTGGAAATGTGCCCAGTATATGGCAATAGGCTCACCCCCTATTACATGGGACTCATAACATAAATAGTGAAAAGTGGGTGTTACATTGTATAGTGGCATAATGTGCACCTCTGCCTACCCCTTTGGGGATAAAAAGCGTGGTATTATGTTATGTCATGTTGCAATGTTTTATGTATGCATGTACGTGTGTGTATGTATGTACGTGTGTGAAGTGGAATCTTGCAAGTATATTGTGAAGCATATAATTATCTTCAACCGATTGAGCTGAAGCTTTGTATACACGTTTAGTTTGTATGACCATAAATGCTTGGCTTGAAGACTTGTCGCAAGATTTAGGTATACCTGAGTAACTCGTAGGTAAACGGTTGTATTTAGTCTGACCCGTTTGTTTCTTTGTTTAGTTAAATTTCTTTTACAGTACCTATATTTGATTGATGTTTGTCCAATATCTCGCCTGGGGGTAAGCGATGATGCGGCCTACGATGGAGCATGTCGTTCCATAAGCAACCTATTCACTCGGGCCTTGAAGACAATTCAGGAAACACAGACTCTTGCAAAGGATTCAACTCCTTAACAGTTCGCACAAGGAAGCGTGAAGCTAATTTCAATTTCCCTTCATTCTGACGACAGGTCGATCTGATATTTGGTTCTTAACTGTGAATCTACCAGTATCACATAGGAAGTAGGTAGGTAGGCCTAATTTTCTACTATAATGTATTAAGTAGGTACTTTTGATCTGGCAATTGATTTGCTGCTATTGTTTTGTTTACATTTAGTTATGGTTATGTTGATTTCTTAGTACCTATTGTAGGAAGGAATAGTAACTAAGTACCTGCCTACTAATGTCGTGGTGGCCCGGAGGTTTAAGACGCCCACTTCTCATGCATGAGGGTGCGGGTTCGAAACCTACCAACGGCAAGTACCAATGTGACTTTTTCCGAGTTATATGTACTTTCTAAGATTATTTAGACACCACTGACAAACGGTGAAGGAAAACATCGTGAGGAAACCTGAACTTATAATTTCTAATTATAAGTTTGAAATCGCCAACCCGCATTGAGCAAGCGTGGTGATTAATGCTCTAACCTTCTCCGTGTGAGAAGAGGCTTTGCTCAGCAGTGGGCATTTATAGGCTGTTGATGATGACCTGCCTACTTACAGTTATAAAATCGTAATTCAAAATAAGTAATTGACTATGGTCTATCGATTTATGTGGTTAACTAAACGTAAACAATCTTGGTATGTCTTTTCATATTAAAGAGGTCGTATAAAATACATACAAAGATTATTTAAATAGCTAACATCGATTTAGATGAATACCTGATTGTAGACATTTTTACAATTTCTTGCAACTTTTAGATAAAAAGACATGCCAAGATTGTTTATATTTAGTTAATTATCTAAACCGATAGACCATACCTACTATACGCGAAGCGCGAACAGCTGAGCCTAATCCTTACTAATATTAAAAATCGGAAAGTGAGTTTGTTTGTTTGTTCCGACTTCACGCCGTAACTACTAAACTGATTGCATTGAATTTTTGCAGACGTAAAGTTAGTAGTCTGGATTAAATAATAGGGTACTTTTTATCCCGAATAAAATTGATATTCACGAGGGAAAACAAAAGTATTGGTATAGATGGCGCTGTATATGACATATACCAATATTGGTATATGTCACATAGGCTACTTTTTATCCATTTGTGACGCGAGGGAAGCCGCGGGTAAAAGCTAGTATTTAACTAAAAGTGACAACCCTAAGACAGTAGGCCATTATATCGCGGATTGGGAAGAAGATGGCCTACTTCCCTTTTCTTTATACTATGACAATACAATATGAGCTAAATGTTTTCACAACTACCGCCATTACGGATATCAAACGAAAGGACTTGATTGGTAAAATAGAGGTCATTACGACTTTGACTGCCAATAAAAAACTGTTGAAGGTAAATCCTCCGCTAACGCCGGTCACCGGTGACCTCCATGGCGTTTAACGTGTTAAACTCATTTAACATTACAAATATTATGATTCGAATTTAGGTCTGCTAGGTTTTTTTGACATTTTGTCGTTATTTGATATTGTTACTGTTATGTGACTATGCTTCGACTATATTTTGTGACGTAGTTCATTCGTTCCGTTGCTCCACACTAGGATTTTCTCTTATGTCGTGGATGCGTTTACAATAAGTTCACACACACATCACACCGAGACCCGAAACAACATTTGTGGATCACACAAAGAGTTGATCCGTACAGGATTCGAACCCGCTACACAATGCGCGGCAGCCGGTTGCCCAGGCACCGCACCAACACTGCAGTCAAATACAGCTAGTGTTCAAATATAGCTTAGTTACAGTAGTTCATCGTCATCATCGTCATGTCAGCCATAGAACGTCCACTGCTGAACATAGCCCCCCCCCCTCCCCAATGACTTCCAGATAGGCTGGTCGGAAGCGACCTGCGTCCAGCGGCTCCTAGTGAGAGTAATTATTCATTTTCTTATTGCTAATTACTAAAACTGACACTAGAACATGCAGGTTTAGGTTCAAAATACTTGGACGTTCAGTGCTTCTCGAATCATCATGTCCTATGAGACGAGTTTTTTGAGTGACGACAATCAATCAATGACTTCTCCCGCCTTGGGTGAGGCGTGAGGGAATGTCTGATTCTTGCTGACTAAACGTCACCCCGTTCCTACTGCTGCATCGAGCCGAAGTAACCAGCTAAGTCGTCCGACTGGAACACGCGAAGGGCTAAGGGCAGATCAAGTAAGAAATCGGTTCCGTCTAAGATGACCGCTTTTTTGTCTCTGCGGTTCTTTTGAGCTCCTATTTTCAATAGAAAGGTATTCAATGAAAATATTGAAGTAAAAATTACATAACATAACATCACGCCTTTTATCCCCGAAGGAGTAGGCAGAGGTGCACATTATACCACTGTACAATGTAACACCCACTTTTCAATATTTATGTTATGAGTCCCATGTAATAGGGGGTGAGCCTATTGCCATATACCGGGCACATTTCCAGACTCCGTGCTACTACTGAGATTTTTAAAAAACCCAGTAATACTTTGCCCGACCCGGGAATCGAACCGGGAACCGGGAACGTAATGTAGTGAACAGCAGAACACAAGCGTACACATTCATTTTAATATAAAAATACTAATATTTTATTGTATCATAAAACTTGTTATACATTGCGCGAGCAACTATTTTTATATTTGTAATTCAATAAAATTATTACAACTATTTTATTGACGATAAACTTTGGAATTGTTACTGATTTTTAACAAGCTAACAATCATCAACTGTACCTAATTTTAAACCAATCTTCTTTTGAAATAACGACTTTTAAACCACAGTCACTTGCAAAAGCGAAGTGTTGCAAACCTTAAAAAAATATTTCGAAACAGTAGTTTTCATTTAAAAAACGTAATATAATATTACAAAAAGTTCAGTCGACTCGAATAATAAAATTTTACTTCGTATCAATAAAATAAAAAGCAATTGTCAGTCTTTACGTTTAAAATAAACACATAAAATGGCGGCTAATTTCATACCAGCTATCTTATTTTTACCTTTTATTTCATAATCAACGTTAAAGTATATAATTCGCTATGAAAGTAATATTAATAACTTTGTTTCTAAATTATGAATTGTTCGTCTGTAAAACTGTCCATAAGGGTAAGCATTCAATTCTATTCAATATTTAAACTAAAACATAAACTAAAAAGTTAAATAAATTCCCGGGTGGGTGTTATATACCCGGCAAGTGACTACACATTTCACAGAGGCTGGGCATCAGCGCTCTCTGATAAATCTGAACCTCAAGCCTGATCACGCCAATAACCATGGTATGATCTTCAAACCTTCAAAAAAAGTGCATATTCCTTCTTAAAAGGCCGTCAATGTAATTGTAACTGCTCTGAAATTGCCTGTACCGTCTGCTCACTTACCCCGTATTTAATAAAAACCCACAGGAGGAGCAGCGGTAGTGACCAATAGTATTATGTTCAGCACACGGCTACATTATACATACAATACTAGCTTCTGCCAGCGGCTTCACTCGCGGTAGCGTGGGATAAAAAGTACCCTATGTGTTGTTCCAAACCATAATCTGCCCCTGCTCCAAATTTCATTCCGATCTCTTCAGCTGTTTTGACGTAAATAAGTATACAACCTTTGCATGTATAATATAAGTAAGGTCACTTCCCTCGCAGTACACAAACAGACACAAGGAACCAACTTCCACTTCCGAGGCCAACCACAATTTAAGAGAGGACACAAAGTCTTCAGAACAGAAGATAAGGTACTCTATCGTCGGAGAGACTTTCCCGAATATGACGTCACAGGAGTCTTCTGGGGAGGCCAAACAGATTTAGAGAGAATGCCAAAACCATACACAACATCTACATTCCTACCACCACTAGAGCGAGAAGAACCAGTACTCACGCTCGCTCCAACTCCAGGAGAAGATGAAGAGTCTATAACGATGCCTCCAACTCCAGGAGAAGATGAAGAGCCTATAACGATGCCTCCAACTCCGGAAGATGAATTAGACTCTCCAGAACAAATAGATGATAATACTTGGCCTTATTTGAGACCACCGAGTACAGAACCGACCGACACTGTGTACACGAACTACCCTGGTTACCCATACGAACCTCCTCCTTTCTTGGACTCAGTTATAAAAGACCGTGATAAAGATAATTATATAAAGTTAACACCTCAACCTACACAGAGTTACCAGCGACCTCCTGACGTCATCTACGATTATACTAACACAGAACCAGGCCCCACCAATGATGGGATCACAAATCACACATATTATGTTTCAATTCCGTTAAATACAAACAAACCAAGTGAATATACCATTAACCTTGAAGCGTTTCCTTCTTCAGTACCAGCGTTACCACCAGACATTGATAGCATGTACACTCTTAAACCTGAGCCAAATATTGGCACTTGGTCGACACCTACAACTACAACTACAACTTCAACTCCAAGCACTACCATAAAACCGCTTTGGAAAGTTGTTCAACGCAATGTCGGAAGATCTAATTTGAATTCTAATGTGACTATATCAGAAAAAGATATGTCAAACGTTAAGAAATGGTTCAGTAAAGTAACCGCGGGAACTCCTGTTCAGAAGTGGTTTTCCTCCTGGGTCGGACTTACTACTGGTCAGTATCAAAATGTATGATACGCTTTTTAATTGTTCTTTTTCACCGTCCGTAAACGAGCTGACGGTTCACCTGATGGTAAGTAATTGGCGCCGCCCATGGACACCCGATACACCGGTATGGAGTTTTAATTGCATTGCTGGCCTACTGGGTCACATCTGTGGTGGTCTGGTGGCCGTTTGAAGCGCACGTGGAAACGTGACGTACCCTACCCTCGGGTCTGGTTCTGCTACCCTTACTCGCCGTCCGCAGACATGCGATTCCAGTAACGAGGCAGTAAAAGATGCAGTTACTAATCATATTATTATACATTCAACAGTGCCACAGATGAGTACATTGTCCAAATCGCAAATATGGCTTCAAAAAATGAAGGATTTAGGTATTCCTGTACACAGAGACGATCCTGTGGACTACAAATTGTCCACTGCCACGACAGCAACTGCAAGGTACACATATTTATCATTAAATTTACGTTTATATAGGATAGGCCGACAAACGAGAGACGGATCACCTGATGGTAACAATCTGCGCCATCCATGGACACCCACGAGGTGTTACAAGAGCGTTGCCGGCCTTTTGCTGGTTATGAATTTGAAAATTAAGGATTTAGGGATTAGGAAGGGAAGAATTAGCCCTTCGGTAACCTCACTTACAGGGCGAAGCACAACGCATGCGTTGTTTCATGCAATTTTTCTGTTAGGCATTGGTATCACTCCGATCGAGCCGGCCCACTTGTGCTGCAGCGTGGCAATACTACTACACTTTGAATTAATTGAAGACTCATTCGGGTTTCAATCGCTCTTAATCAGTTGTACTAAACTTATTCACCTGTTTCAATTGTTTTGTAAGCTTTATACTAAAAACGGAGAGTCATGATATTTTGAGAAAAACACCAGAGTACAGTCCATTGGCGAGCACCACTATACCTACTGGATTACCAGGCACTCCAGGGAACGTATTATATGAAGGTATGTATCGCATGTCAAACTATCACAAACTGCATAGCATCGTCATCATCATATTAGCTACCAGACATCCACTGCTGGAAACTACTGGCCTCCCTCAGTGACATCCAGATCGGTTGGAAGCGACCTGTATCCAGAGGCTTTCTGCAACTCTTATTAGGTCCTCAGTCCAGCTTGACCTTGTGGGTGGACGTCCTGTGTTGCGCTTGCCGGTACGTGGCCTCCACTCGAGAACCTTTCTGACCCAACGGCCGTCGGTTCTGTGAGCTATGTGCCCTGCCCAGTGTGAAGTGTTCAGTTACAGTAAAATTCACAACCAAAAGAGATAAGAGCTCTTTCCAATCTTTGTTCAATCCATTCTGACACTTATCATCATTATCCAACCAATGACAATCCACTGCTGCTATAAGCCTCCTCTACATAAGAGAGTTTGTCATAATCTCCGCAGGCAGGCGGGTTGGAGATCGCAGTATACAAGGTTCAGGTTATATATGTCCGGCGACCGGAATGAAATATGTGAAAGGAGTAGATTATGATCTGGGATAACACATAGGCTTCTTTTTATCCTACGGTAGCGCGAAAGGAGCCGCTGGCAGGCTAGTCTTTAATTATATCTAACTTTTTCAGATATTGTAACCTTCGCCACACCAGCTCCATCATTAAGACAAGTCTACTTCAAGATGATGGAGGACAGAAACGAAGGATTTCTAACCATCTTTCTACAGGAAATATTCAGGATCACATCCGAGAAAGATAAGAGACTTGTAAAAGAACTGTTAATGGAAGTGGAACCTCACATAAATACGTTCGTATTCATTGTCACCATCACCATCAACTATGCATACATGCCAGATAACTGAACCAACGAAACAATACTAAGAATGGTATTGTGAACCTGATTGAAAAAGAGTAGCCTATGGAGTTTCTTGCTCGTTTTTCTCCGTAGGACCTTGGAACGAGCAAATAGAGCACGTTATTAAACGTTTGTCAATTGCCTACTTCATCTGATTTCAAAATAACTGATTTTCAATTTTTACTTTTGTCAAATACTCTCGAGCTAGACGAACTGAACTAAACTGATTATTATTCACAGTTGGTACGACACTGATCAACTGAAGTGGTTCGGACAACCCCTGGCTGACACCATCGTGAAGCTTTCTCGGTTCCTCAGCGTATCAGAGATCGATAACATTAGAAGTAAGTAGAGGTTTTAAGAAGTAGAGGCCGGTACCGAATCAGAAAAGGGGAGATCCGCTAACGAACTAAAGTCTATGTTATAACTTTGGCGGGACATACTAAATTAATTATTATGTTTTTCGACTTACTCGCGTAATTATTTGACGAGGAACCCGACTAGATTCAAGCCATGCAAGGGGCTCATATTGTAGCAGCGCGACAGTCGCCGCAACATGGGACCCGGAATGCTGCTTATATTCATGAGCTGTCCGACAGTCGCTGGTGAAGGACCACGGCTCCAGACTAGTACTCTCAGTAGTTCACTCGAAACTCGTAGAGCTATTCTCAGTTTATTTACGTGAGTAACCCCTAAAGTTTAGATCATTCAGAATGTCTCACGATAGTTATTTTATAAACAGTGGACGTCTTGTGGCTGGTGATGGAGATACATTTGAAAGAAATGAAGTACTCTTGTTGTTCTAACTGATGACGTGCTGCTTTACTCCCGCCAGGCTACTCATCAATGCTGTATCATATGCTGCAAACCAGGAAGACTGCTGTAGCAGTTGACTTGAACTCCATTATAGAATATGCTGATCTGCTGTACACTGATGGTGAGGGATGGGAACTCTTCGATGCCATTATGGAGTATGAACAATATCCTAATGGTAAGTTTGACATTTATTTGTACAGGGTTGTGAACCATTTATTTGAACAGACCGGATGACGTCATGACGTTCAGACGGTATGGCATCCAGCTAAGTGAAGTTACGATATCGGCTGCAGAGCCTCACATCCGATATCGTTGTTTCAGTAGCCGGCAGTGGATGCGGAGAGCTGAAAATCGAGCTCAGTGCCGGGATATTAGAGAGGCCTATGTCTAGCAGTGGGCGAAAACGGGGCGAAGATAATGTTTTTGTTGCCATTGACTCCTCCCACCTTGGATGAAGCGAGAGGGAGTGTCAGACTCTTACTAACTAATCATCACGTTCCTACTCTTGCTTCGAGCCGGAGCCCCGGCAACCCGTTTAGTTGTCCGTGGCTCTGAGTCGATACGTGATGACTTGCCATTTCGTAAATTAAGAATGTATGAAACATTGTTTTCGACCTAATGTAAGGAATCATTAACGAATTTCAGGTACAAGAAACGCAAAACAGCTTTGTGAATTTATATTCGACTGTTTTATGAGACCGTACAGAAGACTCAGCCATTTAGAGCGCGGTCAAACGCTATTCAACTCTATCAATACCGCATTAAAGAATAAATTCCCTTCACGAAGACTTAATGGAATACTTTTTAGAATTGAACGTAAGTTTACTCATAATATAGAAACATTCACATCTGTGTCCCATGGTGGTAACAGAAACTACAAAACTTTACCTTCTTCGATACTTACATACTTCTTTAGCTCTGCAATAAACAGTTGTAATAAAACTATAAACGTACAATGCAAGATAAAATTACATTCCACAGCACAAACAACAACAACTGGAATAAAATCGAAATATCTCCAAGAAGTATACAAACGCAGCAGACGGAACAGGTACACAAAACAATACAAACGGAACAAGTATACAAAAGAAGTAAAAACTCCGGTCATCAACAACTATTACATTTTAACAGCAACTAAAACTAATAATAAAGCTGTGAGATATAAAGTCAATTTTAATAGAATTAAAGAAACGACAATAAATTACAAAAATCTACTATTTGGTAATATTTTCGATGATCAGAAAGAAAGCATTTTGTATGCAGATAGTCGTTTGGACAGAAATCCATATTTCAATGACTTTGATGATGTTAAACATGACACTGCATCAAATAAATATCTTACAACTAATCGTAAAGAAATGCACAGAAATACGGAAGAAGAGAGAAATTCTGAATTAGAAGAGAACCACTCAAAGTCAAAGTCGAAGTCATTTATTTCAGTGAGACCAAGAAGGCAATTTTGAATGTCCAATAAGATACTAAGCGTCAGTCTGTCGGCCTGTTCTCCAGTGGCTCTATTTGTTCGATCCAAGGTGTAGATTCCTATAGAGAACGAGTAAGAAACTCCATGGTTACTCTTTTTCAATCAGACTGACAGTACTCTGTTACTAGATATTGATTGAGATGATAAAAGTTAATCAGTAGGTATTATGTAGTAAATAAATTGTAATGCAACTATTTCATACTTGTTTCTTTTTTATTTATAATTCAAGCTTTTCCCTAACGAGTCTAGTGATCACAACATCAACTGCTATAAAACTACTGATGGTTCGATTACTGGGACAACGTCAAATTCTAAATAATTTACTTCAATTAGACCAGGAACGCTTTTGAATGTCACCAAAATTTTTTTCTCATTCCAAGGTGTAAATTCCTATTGAGACAAAGCTACGAGTAAAATACTCCATAGGTTACTCTTTTGCAGTCAGGTTCACAAAACCATTGACGTCGTACAGACCTGTCAAACACAACGCACGACTGTCCACTGCACGCTTCCAAACAAGAAACAATCTTTATTTGTTTATACGCAGTCAGTCAGTAGGGACGTGCTGTCACATTATTGTGAAAATGGTATGTATTTCATAATACCCTGTGGTAATGTACTTGTAGCGACGACAATGCACCGCATAGGTTTTGCAACGTTGCAGTTATGCAACGTAGGGCAGTCACGGGCTTGTCGGGTTGCGAGTGGGTCGCGCACATTGTAATTAGCCTAAGTATTTTTTTGGTCATTATATGGAGTGGAACTTTGTCGTATCTTTTAATTACAACCCGAACCCGTGTCTCAACATTGGTGACTCCGACGACTGAAGTGATTTACTCTATTTTTGTGCGACCAGTGATAACAATACAGTAACTATGAATCCTCCGGCGGCAATTCCAGTCAAGGGCGAGGCGGGTGAAAACGCCTTAGCTCAAATAACGGTGTCAAGCAGGATACCGGATTTTTGGAAGGAATCACCTCGTCTGTGGTTTGCCCAGTACGAAGCCGTGGTGGCAAACCAAAAGCTAACAGATGAGTCAAGATATAATTTGGTGATCGCGAAGCTCAACCGAGAGCATGTGGAGCAAGTCAGTGATATTGTGCTATCACCGCCCGACACTAAAAAATACGAAGCCTTGAAAAATCGATTACTCGTAGTTTATGAGGAATCAGAGGTACGTCAAGTTCAAAAGCTTCTGAAAGAACTGGAATTGGGAGATCAGAAACCCTCCCAGCTCCTCAGGAGAATGAGAGATCTCGCAAGAAACAGATTTCGAGATGAAACTTTGAGCATGCTTTGGATGGGACACTTACCAACAGCGGTGCAAGCAGTACTCACAGTAAGTGAAGTGAAAGATCTGGAGAAGTTAGCTACTATGGCAGATAAAGTCGTTGAAACAACGCGTTTTGCGGAAGTCCAGGAACTTTCTACTAATAGAAGCAGTGAGGCAGCCATGCAGCCAACCCTTGCGAATCAAGTCGCCCACCTAACACAGCTTTAAACCGTTTGGAAACGTCAAGATCAAGAGGCAGGTCATCTGGTCGTAGTAGTTACAGGAGACCGTATCGTTTTGCGTCTCAAAGTCGCGAGCGCGCGAAAAGGAAAACCCGAATTGGTTGTGCTTTTACCATTTTCGATACAAGGAAAAGGCCAACAAATGCATCCAACCTTGCGCATGGCAGAGGCAGCAGGAAACTGAAAAAAAAAAACTAGATGCCGTACAGCCTAAGGCGGATGGCTGTACCAGTGGAATTAGCAAACGCCTTTGTGTTAGAGATAAGAAAAGTGGACTAAAATTTTTGGTGGATACTGGCGCCAATGTTTCAGTGTTACCAATGACTAAACATAACCGTTTCGCGAGTGAGTGCAGTGATTATAAACTATATGCCGCAAACGGAAGTGTGATTAAGACATTCGGTACTAAAACTATGATATTGGACTTTAGTTTACGTCGACCATACAAATGGACATTCATAATCGCAGAGGTAACCCAACCTATTTTAGGAGCTGATTTTCTGGCTCATCACGGTTTAATAGTAGATCTAAGTTCATCTAGATTAATCGATAATATAACAAAATTAAATTTTGTTGCCAGCATTGTGGAGGTGGATCAACCGACCGTGAAAACTGTCGAGGACACTCATCCATTTCACGATCTATTATGTAAGTACGTTAATATTACTAAACCTGCGTCGTATAGGGAAGTACCTACCCACGGTGTTTTCCACCACATTGAAACAATCGGACCTCCAGTATTTGCTAGAGCTAGGCCGTTACCACCGTCTAGATATAAGAAAGTGCAGGAGGAGTTTCGTTTTATGCAGGAAGTAGGCATTTGTAGACCTTCAAAGAGTCCTTGGGCCAGTCCACTTCATGTGGTACCCAAGAAAAATGGGGAGTTACGTCCTTGTGGGGATTATAGGAAGCTTAACTCTATCACCAAGCCGGACAGATATCCCATACCTCGTTTATCCGACTTCACATATATACTATCGGGAAAAAAGATCTTTTCAAAAATTGATATAAACAGAGCATATCACTGTATTCCTATAGCATCAGAAGATATAGAAAAGACTGCAATTATTACGCCATTTGGATTATATGAATTCCCGCGTATGACGTTTGGGTTACGCAACGCAGCCCAAACTTTCAGCGATTCATGCACCACACTGTTTTTCAGGAACTAGACGCAGCTTGTAAAGATAATATCTTCTCGTATATCGATGACGTTATTATAGCATCTTCAAGTGAAGAAACGCATCGGGAGCATTTAGAGTCATTATTTAAACAGTTTAACAAGTATAATATAACTATAAACTTAGATAAGTGTACGTTTGGTAAGACAGAAATAGACTTTGTCGGCTATCGTGTCACATCAGAGGGGATTCATCCACTTGGTGATAAAGTTAAAGCCATTACTGAATTTCCCAAGCCCATTAATATCGAACAATTGCGACGATTTTTGGGCATGGTAAATTTTTACAGGTCTCATATACCAAATGCATTTTATCGCAATCGATTCTTAGTAGTTTTATTCATGGTGCAAAAAAGAAAGATAAGACACCTATTGCGTGGACCCCAGACGCTGAGCAAGCATTCGAAGAATGTAAGTTAAGCTTGTGTAACGCGGTCACGTTGTCGCATCCGGTGGCAGATGCACCGCTAGCACTTATGACGGACGCGTCCGATTCTCACGTAGGCGCGGTGTTGCAGCAGCAAGTAAACAATGCATGGACACCGTTAGGTTACTTTTCAAAAGCTATGTCTAAAACTGAATGTAAGTATAGCACGTATGATAGAGAGTTACTAGCGATTTACTTAGCCATTCGTCATTTTCGGAACATGGTTGAGGGACGGCAGCTAACTGTATATACGGACCATAAACCAATTACATATGCATTTTTAAAAACTAACAGCGAGAAAGAGTTACCTAGACGTACACGTCATCTAATATTTATTAGCGAATTCACACACAGACATAAGACATTTGAGTGGTCAGGACAATGTCGTTGCAGACACGTTATCGCGCGTAGCAACTATAAGCTGACGGTGATGATAGATTTCGAAGAACTCGCTAAAGAACAGCAACATGATAACTATGTTTTGCAATTGTTAAAGTCCGATAATGATATTCTAAAAAGGATAATGTTACCTGAAAGCGGAGCGTTTATTTATTGCAATATCATTAATGATAAAATCAGACTTTATTTAACTGAAAAGTTTCGGCGTATTGCTTTTGATACAGTACATAATTTGAGTCATCCTGGGATCAGAACGACACGAAAATTGGTACAAGAACGTTTTTATTGGCCGAGTATGAATCGAGATGTTAGCCAATGGGCTAAAACTTGTGTTAACTGTCAGCGATCAAAAGTAAACAGACATACAATGTCAGCTTTAGGTTCGTTTCCTCAATGTAGTAGATTTAGCCATATACACGTAGACCTGATTGGTCCGCTTCCAATTTCAGCGGAAGGCTATAGATATTGCTTAACTGTAATAGACAGAGGAACACGGTGGCCAGAATGTTTCCCTACAAAGGATATAACCGCTGAGACTGTTTCACGAGTTATATATGAAGGTTGGATCTCGCGTTTTGGTTGTCCGATAAAACTAACCAGTGATCAAGGACGCCAATTCGAAAGTCAATTATTTTCCTCATTAATGAAGTTATTAGGTATAAATAAACTGCGTACAACACCTTACCACCCACAGAGCAATGGGGTAGTAGAGCGTTGGCACAGATCGCTTAAAGCGTTAACCGCTCGCTTATGTAACATAGCCACATCTTGGGTGATCGAATTACCAACTGTTTTATTAGGGCTTAGAACGGCAGTAAGAGGCGATAATGGTATAAGTGCCGCAGAAATGACTTATGGTACTACTTTAAGATTACCTGGTGATTATTATGATAACAAATCTAACTTAGAAATAGATAGTAGTAAAGAGTATGTTTGCAAATTAAGAGAAACCATTAGGAAATTCCATTCAGTAGCAATCAGGGAACATAAAAAACAGAATATTTATATACATCCGGATTTAAAAACATGTAATTACGTTTTTGTTAGGAACGACGCTGTTCGTAGACCTTTACAACCAACTTACGATGGACCTTTTCGCGTGTTGAGTAGAGATAGGAAAGTTTATCACTTAGAAATGTCAGGCAGGAAAGCTAGAATATCTATAGACCGTTTGAAACCGGCATATTATCTCAGTGAGGATATTGACGTAACACCATCGGCAAATACTGAGGTTCCGAATAGTGTTTCCACTAACACTCGCACCACGCGTAGTGGAAGAGTTAGTAGAGTTCCTATACGATTTAGGTAATAGTAATATAAATGTACCACGATTTTATAATTCAATACATTATTATACCATGTGTAATTTTTCCGCATAAATAGGTAATGTATGTGTACAATGTAGCTTACTAAGTACTATAATATAGGATCACGTCCAGTAAAAGCTAACACAATGCAACTGTCGTAATATAGTCTACAGCCAGTACGTAGCATAAATGTAACAGCTAGCATAGCTATGTGTAGCTGGAAGTATGACAACAACTTTAGGAATAAATAAAGTAGGTTACAATATAAGCATTATATACTTTATATACAACTATTTTTACATAAATTTTATTGTTCTATTGACAACTAATTACATTAAGTACTTATTGTAAAATTTATTACCATACTTATACGATGGGTAAATCATACAGTAAATCAGAGGAAATAATCATAGCCCAAAATGGTGCAAATAACGCGAGTCAAAGCTCGGTGGAACAAAAGTTAGAACTATTTGGAACAATAACTGCAAGTATTCTAGTGTTATTGCTATTGTTTGCAATGTGTTTTGTGTTTAAGAAATGTAAAAAAGGTGCGAAAAATTGGGCTAGAAAGGAACTTACTACTGCCATGTCATCAAGCCAAAATGACAAAGTTGGGCAGCAACAAGCACCAAACATACAATACGCGTAGACTTTTAGTTTTAGAGTGTATATACATCTTTGATTGTATTTAATGAAATCTTTTAGAAATGTTACACCCATTTAATTGATATTATATAACTTGTATAACCTTAACTTGTGTGAAAACTGTAATTGTACTTGTACTACTGCATCTCCTATGTATGTTTCAAATGATTTGTATTTTAATTATGTTATATACATATTATTATTTTTTTTTTAAAAAAAAGGGGAGGAATGATGTAGCGACGACAATGCACCGCATAGGTTTTGCAACGTTGCAGTTATGCAACGTAGGGCAGTCACGGGCTTGTCGGGTTGCGAGTGGGTCGCGCACATTGTAATTAGCCTAAGTATTTTTTTGGTCATTATATGGAGTGGAACTTTGTCGTATCTTTTAATTACAACCCGAACCCGTGTCTCAACATACTCATGTAATGTAATGTAGGGTACCACAGGGTATCCTTAAAGGAGACACACGACCTGGTAAAGGTCTGTGACAGCCGCTGTATGCAGGTCGCGTCCATCCTCGCGATGTGTAGTCATTGGGGGGGGGGGGGCTGTGGGAGGCAGGGGACAGTACGGGGCTGATATGTGATGATGATGATGATTGTGATAAGGAAATAAAACCAAAAATAACAAAACACACACTTTTATTTAATTTTACAAATTACCTAGCAAATGATAACTAAAGTTTTATAATAACGATCGTGAGACATGCTGAAAAGTAAAATTTAAGAGGTACCTCATGAGTAGCGTGCGCGGTTGCGGCGATTTCGCTCAGCCTACTAGGAGAGCTTTTCTCAGTTTATTCACGTGAGTTGGGTAACTCACGTGAATTTTTATGAAATAAAAATTAGTTTATTACTGATAATGCGAGAATGTTATTCAACTTCATGGCTCTGATTCATTGATCTCCAGTTGATTTATACCTTATTAGGTTACGATGGGACTGACATACGCTGTGCGGTATAAAAGTCCCTAAAATTAAAAAGGAATAAAAAACAATTTGCTTATTATATATAGTACACAAAACACCGCTAATTAGTTCGCAGCGCTACACAACGACACAAATCATTTACACAATATACATGTGTGGGTAATTTCATATTAATAGTATATGTATAGAAACATTCGTCTATCACACACATCTTGGTATTTAAATATCATTTTTGTGTCGGTATACGTAATAATTTAGTAATTATTTAGCATATTGTTGCCACAAGTAACTTGTTATAAGGACAGGACGATGATGTGAAAATATTGTCAAACGCCAGCTACAATTCTAAACAATGTCCGAGTACTATTGTGTTTGTAATACGAATATCGAAAAATCTAAACCGTGACTTCTGCAACGAGTGTTGTTACTCAGAAATAGATGTTTTTTCTGGAATAGGGCGGCAAAAGAACAGACAGATCACCTGATGGTAAGCAATCAGCGTCGCCCATGGACACCTGGAACACCAGAGGTGTTACAAGTGCGTGACCGGCCTTTTGGGGATAAGAATTTGAGGATTATTGGTTTGAGATTGGGGAAAGGGGAGGGGTAATTGGGCCTCCGATAATCTCACTCAAACGACGAAACTCAATGCAAGCGTTCTTTCACGTTGGTTTTCTGCTGGGCCGTGGTATCACTCCGGTCGAGCCGGCCCATTTGTGCCGAAGCATGACTCTCCACACTTACACTTTCTGGTCACCTTTACCATTTTTATTGTTAGTGTTATTGATCGAACTTTATGCTCTAATTGCGAATCGTCTTCAATTCGTCTTAATACGTTTCATTTCTCTCATAGTTAATCGCATTTCTGTCATGAACACTTTCAATCCTGTGATCTTGGTCTCTGTGCTTCAAATGTGTTTGAAATCGTACTGTCCATGGAGGAAAGGAAATCTAGTATTCGCTTGATTCGTAGCTATATTTAGTTTAGTTGTGAACTCCTTGGTGGGTCTACTGATTAGGTTTACTATATAACTACGTGTAGACCTGTGCCTTAACATGTGTCGATGTGTCGGAGTAACAATTTTGTACCGTCTCTGTATACTTGTGATCGGCTTCATATTTCTTAACAATGGATAATTGTACTGAGTTTCAGGTGTATAACTTAATCTACGTCTATAAACATTTTCATTGTTGTAATTTGGCTGGACATTTGTGTGTTTTCGTTTGATAGTCGGATGTTTCGGTTTCGACTTCAGCTTTTGTAGTTTATGTGTCAAGTTCTTTTGTTTTTTCCTTGTGAATGAGACTGTGGTGTCGCTGTCTGATTGTACTGACGGGGTTTGTTCAGTTGCTGTGGAAGAGAAGGCGGTTATGTCGTTAGTAGTTTTTACACAATAAAGCCTACGGTTGTCCTGATGGTAAGCGGACACCGTAGTCTAAGTACACCTGCAACAAGCAGCTCTTAAATATTTAAGAGACGATTCAGTATTTCGATATAAACTGTAATATACGTACTTTCTTTAATACCTAAAAATCCCAAAGCACTCATCTTCCACAGGTCTGGTTGAGGTATTATAGCTTTTAGCTCAAAGTTAATAGAGTCTAACAATCGTTGACGTAGAACTGTATTACTAAGCCTATGATACGGCTTTAGGAAGCTCTCTATTAATGCTAAACATACTGTATAGCCTGGTCGTGTAGCTGGGATGAAAAGAAAATACAAAATCACAGCATTATTTCTTTGAATAGTTACATTCGCTACAATAAGTTCGAGGATCGACTAACAGATGGCGTTGTGTACAAAACCACATTGCACACATACATACTGTTAGGATAGTCATCAAAATCTTTGAGCACATTGAAGAGCTTCGTGCCTTCTTCATCATCATACAACATATCAGCATAGTCTATGATGGTGTTGACTTCAGAAGATAACTCTTGGTGACGTGCACTTATCTTTTTATTCAATTTCGAAGCGTATTCTGTAAGAATATCACTAGAATTAGCGTAGTTTACATATGTGAACAATTAGCTCATGACGATACCTAAGTACGCGTGTCGTTGACAAGTCAACCTCGCTACCATCAATTGACTGGACAATACACTACATGAGCTGATTACATGTGAATTACAGCTTGGCAAAAAAGAGTTAGTAATAAATTGAGGTTGCTAGCATCGTACTTGTGGCGACCTGGTACACTACGACTCACTCTATTTTGATTTTTGTTAGTTTTATAGAGTTGAAAAAAACAATTACGCTCGGATGATTATTTATTCATGGGATATGGTCCGAAGTTGGGAATTCAGTCCAAGTCAATATTAGTTCTAGCTGTCACGTCAAACTCTTTTTATCAAGGTGTTCTTACTTTGTATTATTCCCGTTTCAGATTCAGTCATGAATTTCGCCAGATTCATTGTAATATCTAAGAGAGGCTGACCGAACCAGTCAATTTTTTCATTTTCATGAAGTCTGGAATACAAATGCATATCGTTCAAATTATCAACTTTCAACTTGCATGTCAGATGGTATTATGTGCCACTCACTGCAGCACGATCTGTTCAGTATGAACGAGAACTTCAAATAGATCATCCTTGTCTTTAGACGCCATGATCCTCATCAGCTCGATGAGGAACACCACCATGTACCCTTCATCCAGATCAACAATCATTTTGAAGTATGGCAGCATCGTGGTTGTAGTTTGTGGCATACCTGGATAACAGTTAAATTGAAGATTTATCATTGAACATATTAGATGTCAAAGTTTACAGTAAAGGTATGGTGAGCTAATTTCTAATTATAAGTTTACCGCTAACGTGCATTGAGCAAGCGTGGTGGTAAATGCTCATTCCTTCTCAGTGTGAGAAGAGGCCTTTGGTCAGCAGTGGCTATTTATAGGCTGTTGATAGCTTTAGTGATAAGTTTAAACAGTCCGTAATCATAATGTATGACCTTCAGTAGTAGGAGAAAGTATTTAGATACTACTAACGTTTTATATTCACTTGTACTGATGTAGTTCCAGAGCTTGTTTCCGCTTCTTCATCAATTATATGTGTTGTAGGTTCTACTTCTCGTACATTCGTTGATATCTTTATAAGTTTGTTAGCGTGTAGCCTTTTATGCTTTGTCATATATTTTCCGCTTACTGTGATTCGATTCTTTGTTATTCTCTTGACATTCAATTTTCTATGCGTTGATGATTTGTGTTTTCTTAACGCTGAATGAGTAAATTTATTTACATGGGCTGTTGATTTTTTAACTAAATCATAATTGAATTTTATAGGTGCTGTAGTTTTTGTCTTCCTTTTTTTTCTTCTTGGTTTCGTTGTTGTAACATATTCATCTTCTGTCTCAGTTGACTGTTGTTTTTTTGTCTTTTGTCTCTCCATATTTAGTATATCACCAATTTTATCCAGTTGCGTATCGTCCATCCCGTCCATTATAAGAGTTTTATCACTATCATCACTGGATTCATTTGTTTTATCCTTACTTGGAGTAGTTTCTTCACGTACTTCAGCAGTTTCATTATCTTCTTCATGGTCGTCTGTTGAGCTATCTTCTGTTACATCTCTTTCCTCTTCATTTTTACTTTCATCCGTTTTACTGTCATCTCGATCAGACGTCACTAGTTTATCAGGTAAAATAGTTACATCTATATCTTTTATGTTCATACTCTCTTTCAGTTCTCTTATCAGTTTCTCATTCTTGTCAGGTTCTGAATCTGAGTCTTTGATTGAAGTCTCTTGGGATGTCGCTGTGTTGTCGTTTGCTTTATTACTGTCTCGTTCTCTGAGTATATTGGGTCCGTTTGCTATGTCATCGACAGCCTGTCCTTTCTTTACATTCGTACTTAACGTGGCCATATATACGCGATAGTCATCGAGTATTTCGTCTCTAACTGATGACACGACTGGATCTAAAGTCGTTCGGCCGTATCTTTGTACATACTTCGGTTTAGCTCTGTCTTCCAGAGGTTGGTGGTCTTTCGTCAGAGTTTTATCAAATGGTAAAAATATTTCTGTTGTGGAATAGAGGTACTAATTAGTCATTAAGTTACTTGTAGTAAAATGTAACTGAGGTTTCCGATAGGCAAGTCATTGTAGCCGGAGTCGATCCGAATATTAATTTTAGGGACGTATTACTTTGACCATTTACAATGACATTATGATATACAATTGGAAGCAAGGAGTCGGAGCCACAGACATTTTTCTTTCTCATTATATCGAACCCTCTACAACTTAAAAAAGATATTAGTTTTACAACCAAATGCTCTCATTGTAAAGATAACTGAATTGCCTTTCATATGACATACGTTACCAATTAATAAAAAAGTTATTTGTATCAGAAAAGATTTTTCAATGAATTAAACGCTAGCGGCTCCGTTTCCTTGCTCCTCAATATAGTTGTGACAAACCTGCGTCAAACTGCTGACAAAATAACAAATCATAGTGCAAAAATAACAACAGAAATAGTAGTAGCATTATTTATAACTTATAATTGGTTTCAAGTTGGAAATATTCACTTTTGTAATTGTATTGTTGTAGCACATTTTCAATATTGACTGTCTTCAAACGAATTTGTTCAGAATTGAGAGTTTTAAAAACATTTGCTTGAACTGAATACTGCAACTTTGAAACAACATTAAGTTTAAAACCAGTAACAATTCCAATGTTTATTGTCAATAAAATAGTTGTAATAATTTTATTGGATTACAAATATAAAAATAGTTGCTCGCGCAATGTGTAACTAGTTTTATGATACAATAAAATGTTAGTATTTTTATAATAAAATGAAAGTGTGCGCTTGTGTTCTGCTGTTCACGATATTCGGTATTTATTTTGATTTCTTTTCAATAAAACATTTTTGTCGAGTCTCTAGGAAAAATAAATTAAATGCGAATTCAATACGCTATTTTCTAACATCCTTATAATCTATAAAGTCCAAAAATCTAACATTTATAGGTACCATACCTGTTTGATTATTATTATTATTGGAAAGAATTAAATTGAAATTATTGTCCTATTCGATATATTCGACATAATGTAGTCGAATGAGCAGTTTTTACTTAACTTTCCACTTTTATCTTCTTACTAGATCCTTATAAAATCGTAATTATGTTAATCCCACTGTGAACACAAATAATACGTAACTAATATAATAATCTAAATATTTACAGCTCTCATCACAACGAGCTCTCAAGATACTAACAAAGACTTAAAACTAAAAAAAGCAATCCATGACAAACTCCATGCCAAGGAAGAAAGAAAACTCAACATCGCCAAAGACCTTCTAGCAAAGACTAAAGCACTAAGTAAGGTACCTAGGTTCCAGGTCACAACACCAAGAGTAGTAACCTTCACTGGATTCATAATACAAGCGATTAATATAATCAATACTTATGATGATATCACCTTCGGAGACTTTATCGACACTTTAAATGAAGAAGTTAAAAACTATCACTACAGAGGATGTAAATTCTCTGAGCTAACCAAACACCATGATACTAGAAGGATGTTGCAAACTAAATTGAACTTGATCAGTGGTAAACCGGTCTCTGAAACGAAAGCTAATATAAATGCTGTAGCTGATATACTTAGAGACGAGAGATATGACAAGAAAGTCAAAGATTTCGTTGATTATATCAATTCCTTGTACGGACCAGAAACGGTAGAGAAATTCGAAAAGATTTTAAATGAATTGCAATATTACAACAAGCCGAAAACTAGAAGAATGGACGATAATATGGCAGAAGTTATAAAGGATGCGCTGAAGGCGTTAATATTCGACTACTATACACATTTACATGTAAACGCTAAAATAGAACTGAAAGAAAGAATACAGAATATTTGGAATCAAATGAAAGGAACACAAACTTCAACTTTCAACACAAAACAGTTTCATGTGTCACCTCCTACTACTAACTTTTACATATCAGAGACAGAAGATAAAGAATCCAGCAATGATTTAGAAGTAGTAACTAGTGTTGAAGCAAGAGCTAATAAAAATGAAAATACAGATCCGGAGTCAGAAAAAGTTTTAGACTCTTCTTCTAATTCTATAGAGCAGTTCCAGGAGAAACTACGTGAGTTTAATACGCACCGTTACGTAACTTTAGTTACTGAAGGTTTCGACGAGGTACATTCAGACGATGAAACGGATGAAGCCAATCAATTAGGAACCAATAATGAACCAAACCACAAAATTAAACCACAATCATCTGACGAGAACTCAAAATATGTGAAAGGTTTAGCAAGATATGCAATGAAACATTTAAACAACCACGATATTAATAAAGTATATGAGATGGCCACGGGCGAAAAGAAACATAAATTAAAAGATAAAAAGAAGTACAGACAAAAGAAGCAACAGTATTCAATTGAAGAAGATGAAGATAATATAGGAAGGACACCTCGTGATAATGATAAATACTATGAAGCAAAGAATAATGATGGGATAGGCAAACATTTTTCTGATACCGATACGTTTGGATATAAAAGGGCGTTTCAACCCGGTCTTTGGCGAGGAGCAAGGTAAGATATAGAACTCTTCTGTTATTGGTAGCAAGCTGTGTGACATGTAGCGCGCAAGGGGAGTGTTAGGGAGTGCTGAGAAAGTGCCAGACTGTACTGCGCGTAGCAAGCTGTGTGACATGTAGCTTTTCACAGAAAACCGACGTAAAATCATCTAATGACTGCTCCCGCCTGGGTGAGGCGGAAGGGAGTGTCAGACTCTTACTGACTAAAAACCACCCCGTTCCTTCTCCTGCACGTCGAGCCGGAGGTTAGGTTCTCCACGACTCCGAATCGGCATCGGCCCTATTGGGCCCCATCTGTGGTGGTCTGATGGCTCTTTGAGGCGCGCGCGGAACGCGACGCGCCGTACGCTCGGGTCTGTTTCTGGTCGGACGGGGAGCCACCCATGCTCGCCGTCCGCAGGCCCGCGCTTACGGTGGCCGGAGATCGTCCCGCGATCCCCGACGCCCGGTGTGTCCTTCGCGATGGCTGGGTTGCGAGGAGGCAGCGCTTCGCTGCCCCACGCGTCCCGCCTCCTCCTTAGCTAGCATGACTGCTTCGCAAAAGGAGGAGACGGCATCCCAGTCCCCCTCGCTCTGCATCATGGCCTGCACTAGGCCCGGACGCGAGAGGTCGCCATCGCCGATCACTTCCCTGAGGGCACGGCGGTGCTCAGCCTACGCAGGGCATTCCGCAACGGTGTGTTCCACCGTGTCCTCAGGGCGGTCCTCGCAGTGATGACACCCGGGCGTTTCCTCCCGCCCCATCAGATACAGGTACCTCCCGAAACTTCCATGTCCGGTGAGGACCTGCGTCAGGCGGTAGGTGAGGACGCCGTAGCGTCTCTCAAGCCACTCCTCAAAGAGGGGACTTATCGCTGCAATGGCAGCGAGTGTCAACTGTAGAAGACGTATTTACTGTTTTATTGATAGAGGTTCAAATACTGACTACAAATACTATATTGAATATTCATTACTGAGAGTTTCTAAAAATATTCTAGTAACACTTTTGCTTATCGAAACACGAGATCTTGATCACAGTAAATTAGATTTTTTTTTTTATTTTCTATGTTCGTATAACTTACTTTATTTTGTTAATTCGACTAGTAGTGTTCAATATTAACTTACGAATTAAATCTACAGGAGTTTATTTCTTATACGCTCCTTTTTGAGGGTAGAAAATCATCCACTGTCTCCTGTCAGCTAGAGTGAGGCGAGAGTGTCAGTATGTGACTTTTACTGACTAAACACCGTTCCATTATACTCCTGCTTCGAGCCAAAGACCTGTCTATATACTCAACTCCGACATATAAATTTCATTTCAGATATACACAAATATATCGCAGAAGTGGTAGTAGTAACACCACTACAGCAGCCAACGTAAACGATGATTTAGAGAGAAGAGTAAGTAATCTAGAAAAACAAGTACAAGAAGTTAGGAAAGAAATGATTGTTGGACACAAAGAAGATAAAAATAACAATAAAGACTCAGTTACAATTAAATCAAAGTACGATTCGAATAATAAGCTTGATGTTAGAACAGCTTTACCAACTGTTCAAATGAGAGCTGAAGCAATAAATAATAATGCTAAAGAAGTAACTGCGAGAGAACCACTCGTTATTATAAGAAATAGAGCAGTTGATGAAGACACAAGTACAGCAGATACAAGGGTATATGACAATGGACATGAAACTACAGTTTATGATAAAATCAATGCATCTATGACAACTAGCACAAATCTAAGAAGACGTAATTCTCCTATAACTCATCCTGCTGCGGAATATACTTATATAGAGTTGGATCCGTTTGATCATACACATGATGATTATGTAAATAAATAGTTGTCTTCAAAGCTCAATTTCCTTTACCCTCGTCAAGTTTTTTAATTCTAATATTATGTGGCCGTCAGCCGAAATATATATATGTACTCTCTAAGATTATAGATACTACTGACTTATAATTTTGAACTATAAGTCTGTTTGAAATCGCCAACATGCATTGAGCAACCATGATGATTAATGCTCAAACCTTCTCCGTGTGAGACGAGGCCTTTGGTCAGCAGTGACCAGTAATAGGCTGTTGATGTTTCATCTGCTAGTAACTTGAACAGCAACAACCATGTTTTATCAGTTATGTAATGAATCTATACCTACTTTGGAACATGCAGCAAGCTCTACTAAAGACAAATCATAATGTTTTTATAGGTTTAGGATTTTACTTTAAGGGAAACAACAAATTTAACCTTCAAGCGGGCGCGCGTAGTCGAATCGACCGCGGTTAATACATTTTCGTTCGTATTTTTATTTTTAGTTGCCACATGCATTTCTAATTTCTAGTAGCCTGTCACTATCTTTTTAGGAGTAAAATAAAAACAATTCCGTTGCTTGAAGCGCTCTTTTCACTCCACAAATTACAATCGTTTAGGCTCCGGCGCAGTCGTTGAAAAGACTACACGCGCCTGTCGTCGAATAGGTTACGCGTGACGCTCAACGCGACATACACATGTCAGTATTATCTAATTCAGCTTGGAGTTTTGGTGTTTTAAAGCGTTTTTTTTTAAATAAGTCGTTTATGGTTATCGCAAAGTGCAGTAATCGAGGAATTACAAAGAGAAGACGAAGAAGAGAGTGAATCAGAGCTTAGCAACCAAGGCTCTGAAACTTCTCATCACATAGTTTTAGAAGAACATCTATCTGATGTGATATCTTCCTTGTCGGATTTAGATGAGAATAATTTGTAGCTTTCGGAAATAAATAGCTGTTTTACATTAAGTTACAAAGTAGCAAAAATCTGAAAAATTACAAGAATACTGACTCTGACGAAAATAAAATCAAAATTAATGAGTTTTTATCCTTCCTTTTTATTTATTTTTTGGTCTACGTATATAAACCAACCTAACATAATATGTAAACGGGTCTTAATTATTATTTTGATCCAATGAATATTTGAGTTTGGATGTGACTGCGTAAACACACAAGTGACATATTTTCACATTTATAATAGCGGTTCAAGCTAATTTCAACCACAGGCTCTACAGTTACAGCGTAAAGTCCACTATTGGCTACCTAACATATGATAAATTTATATTTGTGTTTGGTACAGCAACTGTGTCTAGGGATTAAGTCGCACAATAAAGTTTGTTTTTTCATGTGTATTTTGTTTTTAGGATAAAAAATACCCAAAATAATAAAATATAATCATTCCAAGTTTCATCGTAATCGGACTGGTAGTTTTTTCGTTCCATCCGCATATACTGTAGTTACATCCCTTTGGTAAGATCACCGCATCACCATTTCCTTTGATTACAGTTGCCTTAACAGTATCCATATTTAACTTTAATTTATTACAAATTCCTTGTATACATATATGTCACAGGAACTACCAAAATTAATGAAATCGTTTGGTATCCAGTTAGGTATCCATTAATTAATTCTTTTTAAATATTTTCAATTGGAAGAATTTTTTTTCTCAATTTTCTCCTGTATCTGTTCTTCTTGTTCACATTGCTATGTGAACTTAAATTTGAGGATTTGCTACTGGATCTCTGAGGTCTCTTGTATCGACCCATATTATCAACAATTAAAGCAAAAATATACACTACCACTTATAGATACTAAATATTAATTTAAAGTTAGTGAATATCAGTTGTGTCTAAGGGTACCTGCTGACCGTCTTAACACTTGTTAATCAATATAAGTTAAGAAATTGTTCAATCAATCAATCAATCAATCATTTATTATTTGTTATTTGGTCGGTCTGATGATGAGGACAATATTGAATAATGTATCTATTGTTTAATTTCATTCTTAATTCTCTTTATTATTAGGTACAATTTATCTCTAATTTTGTTCTGGATTCATTATACATAATTGTTAATAAATAAATACTAGTCGTTGCATGTCATGTTGTGTGCACATACTTGTGGAAGCATGGTCTGCCATTTACAGTTTGGTATTGTTATTCTGTTGTGTATTGCGCTGTGTTTCTGTTTTATGTATAGCTATTAAATAAATAAATAAATATTCTTCAGCAATATAGCAGTGTTAGAAAATTAGTGTTCTATAGCACTTGATAGAATGTTATTAATAGTTAATAGATGTAGTTAAGTAACTGTCTTTTGCACTTAACAATGTGAAAATAATTAAATTAATTATATTTAAGACACAAAGTAGCTAAATTAGATCACAATCAGCACCACCAATCATGTACAAGATGCAGCATTCTTTAGATATTAGTTAATGTTCTAATAGTCCTTTACTATTACAAAATAAACAAGTTATATTGAGGCCAATTTCAGTGCAAGCATAGATAAAAAAAAGTTCCACATGGAAAAAGCTCACCAATCACCAGTTTTAAGCACTTGAGCCAAGCATGCATTGAGTAGAAATAGTGGAAGTCCTTCATAACCACAACAAAACACACATTCACAAAACTTTGATAGCGATTAAAGTTTTTGAGAATCATCGAAACGCAAGTTTTATCTTGTTTATAGGCCGAGCACAAAATGATGATTGTCTTTCACAAAAAGCAAAATTTAAGAAAACATCCTCTTTCATAATTGTACAGCTGCCGAACTTTACTAATGTAATCACTTATCACTGCACGTAAGTCTTATATCACTTCTGAAACTTTTAAGTAAAACTCAATACTTGAATACTGAATAGTTTATTCTAAACGGATTCTGACAAGAACACAGCGTGATGCTCGTTAAACTTCCCAGTCCCACCAGAATCGCGCATTATTAGGGACAGGAAAAAGTATCGATGCTTTGTGGTATCGAGTACATTCCCATTCGATACCGATACTTTTGTACTCGATACTTTGCATTCGATACTAAAAGTATCGATAAGTATAATATCTCAATAAGTCCTTTTTCCCAGGTATTTAGTTTAACAGTGCCATCTAGCTGACTCCTTTAAAACTTTTTAATTCGATCGATTGAACTTATTCTTACCGTGTGGTCGTTCGCAGTTAAATTCCCAAAGAAGTGTACCCAAAATTATATAAATTGACACTAGAATGTATATCTAATCTTGTGTCGTCAGTACGTTCAGAACGATTATTTTCTAAAGCAGGAAGTACCATCACAAAATGGAAGAATGGTGGAGGAATGGAATCTTTAATCTACTACGCGGTTAAAACCGTGGGACACTGTTAGTATTTAATATACCTGAAATAACTTAATATTGTTTCTTTTTCAATGCGTTTCATATATTTTTTTAATTATTGTCCTTTATTTGTGTACCAATAGCATTTGTTTTTATTTCCTGCCGAACTGAAGTAATACCGACATTATTTAATGACCTTTGTTCTATGCAAATTTTGATCTCAAAAGTACTCGATACCTTGAAGTATCAATTCTTTTGTTTCGTTACTTTTATGAGTACGATACTTTTTATCGATTCTACTCATGAGTACAGTATCGATACTTTTGCTTCGATACCGTGTCCCTACGCGTTATCACTCTTTGCGCGGGAAACTTTACTATTCTAATCTGTCACATTTGACAGCTAGAGATGTCGATAATGCAGATTTAATTAGTGACGTACTTTTAGTTGATTTTCGTGGGTTAACCGTACCGACATCTACTTAGATGCATTGAAGATATTTAGTTTCAGAAACTACTAAGAGATGGCAAGCTTTTAACTTTTAACTTTTTAACACTCAGAGGTCCACATATACAATGTAACACCCACTATTCACTGGTAATGCTATGAGTCCCATGCAATAGGGGGATGCGTCTATTGCCATAAATCTAGTCCAGTTCTAAACACCGTGAAATTACCTGACTGACTGAGCTGGGTAGCGATCCTGAAACCCTTTGCTCGGCAATTACACCTCCAACAACCAACAAAGCAGTCTAAGACTATAAAATATTATCTTATACCTCTTATACTATTATATAAAGCTGGAGAGTTTGTTTGTTTGGACGCGGTAATTTCAGCAACTACTGGCCCGATTTGAAAAATATTTTTTTGTGTTGGATAGCACATTTATCGAGGGACACTATAGCATCAAGCCACGATTAATAGGAGCCGAGCAAAGTGGATGAAATAGCGCGAAAGTAGCGAGTGTTAAATAAAAGATTTCTCAAGCTTCAAGGTCTTTAGAACTGTTATTAGCCTAACTCGGTAATTTAGCGCCAAACGTGGGACGCGAGGAGAGAACACATTCGCTGTAAAAATAATTAAAATTGTTCGATAAAAATAAAAGCGCTTTACTTTCCACAAACTTTATTGAGTCATGGGACAGTCGAAAAAGTCTCATTAATTCAATCGAGATGTTTTTTATTTATTGAAACTAAATCACCATACATTGGACGGACGAAATACAGGATTATGTGGAAGAGAAAAAAAATCCATAACTTTATTAGATATTGCTTTGTCTTTCGCAGTTTGACTTTCAAATTTCCTATCATTTAATTCTTTTATCAATTCCCCAATAGAACTTGTATTTTTGTCATTAAACTTTCTACCATCTATCGGGACGTAGCTAGCAGATAGAGGAAAGGTTCTGCTAAAATTACGAATTATTTCATTCGTTGCTAGAGTTTTTACTGTTGATGTAGCCTCTGTTGCTATCGTTGTAAGATCAACTGATCTTTGTCTATTATCCAATGACAATTTCGTTTTATTTAATCTTACAATTGTTTGGTCTAACTTGACTTCATCACTTGATTTCGCAGTCGTGTGATATATTCTAGTTCTTGTATTCATTCTTGGTCTGTTGTGATGATGATGATGCGGATTCAATTCCTCCTGATATAATTTCAGATTAGACGTTGTCATAAAGGTATCCGTATGATTCGATGATGTAGCTTTATCCGTTTCTCTCACATTTG